TTCCATCATCGATTTTTATCTTGTTTTTTCATCGCTGTCGTGTTTTACGTGGTGTTCAAACGTTATTGAAAGTGAAGGTGAAGAAAAATTGTGTAATGGAAAAGTAAACTTTAAACAATGCTTGAAATTCGGTCTGGGATTTAAAATTGAGGTTAGCATGTGAACAATGTGAGCCGAAATATATTTTATGTTGTCAAAAAACTGGCAGAATGTATGAACTAAATAGGCGGTTTATTTTTGTCATGAGATTATTGGGTTTAGGGCTTGTCGGATGCAAGAAATTTTGCAGTTTGATGGATTTAAGCTGCTCCTTTTTGAATTAATCAACATACGATTTTTATATAGATAAAATACAAAACTGCATCAAGATAATTACTGAGACACTACTCTCCACTGCTGCAAAAGAAGAAAAACAATTAACGAGTGATGAAAATGACGGTGAAGATACGACAGATGTGAGTGTTTCTGGTGATGGAACGTGGAAGAAGCGTGGCTTCGCATCACTATATGGTGCGAGTTTATTAATCAGATTTTGTTCGGGAAAAACCTTGGATGTAAGTATTAAAAGTTCTTACCGTAAATTATGCGAGTCGTGGAAAAAAAAATAGATACTGCAGAGTATGAAGAGTGGAAAGAACAACACATTGAATCAAATGAATGTAACGCCAATCACATTGGAGCATCTGGGAACATGGAATCATCTTCTGTTATTGAAATGTTTCAACGTTCTACTGTTAAACATGGCCTGAGGTATGTTAACTATATACTAGATGAGAATTCCAAAACATACTCTGGTATTCTCAGAGGTGAAGATTTTGTCATCAAGAAGAAAGAATGTGTTGGACATATACAGAAGAGGATGGGCACCCATTTACGGGACTTGGTAAAAAAATTTACGGGAATGGTAAAAAAACTCTTTCTGGCAAAGGTGAACTGACAAGTAAATTGATTGATAAACTAACTATTTATTATGGTTTAGCAATCAGAAGAAACTGTGACTCGGTAGAAAAAATGAAAGATGCTATTTGGGCTACGTTTTATCACTACAGCTCAACAGGTAAAACACCTCAGCACGAAAATTGTCTGAAAAATTGTCTGAAAGGTTCAGACTCCTGGTGTGCCTGGCAACGAGCATCAGCAACAAACACTCTTTCATCGTTCAAACACGATTATACACCATTACCAGATGATGTTTTGATTGCAATGAAACCTACTTACGAAGATCTGAGTAAGGATGACCTTTTGGAGCGATGTGTTGGTGGTTTTACACAAAATAGCAACGAAAGTTACAACCAGTTGACCTGGAAAATTACTCCAAAAATACTTCTAGCTGGTTACAAGATCGTTGATATTGCTGCATTGACTGATGCTTTGCAATTTTTAATGAAGGAACATCATCCATTATTATTAATTATGCAATGTATGGATTTAAAACTTGGCCCAAGTTCCAACGAATATGCCCGAAATGCTGACGAAAACCGTATCTGCGCCGAGAAAAAAAATCTGCAAACGAGACTCGTGAAGCCAGGATTCGTCATAGACAGGAAAAAAAAGGAAGCCGAGGACATTGCAGCTGCAGCAGGTTCATTGCGTTATGGCCCAGGAATCAACGTTTCAATGTAAGTAAAAAAAAAAAAAAATTTTTTTTTCCTGTTTTATGGTCACTCAAAACTTTAAACGCGTTTTTCTCAAAACTATGTTTTTAAAGTCGGTTGTCAAGATTTCTCGAAGACTACTCTACTGATCTCGATGAAATTTTAAATAGGTCTTCAAAATACAATTTACAAGGACTTGGACGAAGGATTTTTTTTTTTTTTTTTCAATTAAAACTATTTTTTTTTCAAAATGCCATGAAATTTTTATCGAATTTTGGATTTTTATGTAAAAATTGCTGTCAAACATTTAATTTTCATTTTTTTCCCTTCGTCCAATTTCTAGTTTGAAGCCTTAACTAAAACACGGATTTTTTTTTTTTTCACTTCAGATGATCCTGCTAGGAGTTCTGCTGTCAACGCGAATGCACCTTTTTTCCGAGGGCTCACCGGGAATGATGCCACAATGGCGGAGTTTTTAATATTTATTTTTTCAAAAATTTCAGAAATTGTTTATTAAGTATGTACCTTTAAGATAATAAAAAAATTGAATTAAATATTTCATTTATTGTATGAAAAAAATCTTGAAAATACGCCGTTTTTACTCGGATGAAACCCATGTAACACCTTAAATGATCTTGATATTATGAACTTAATTCAAAAGTGTTATGTCGCGTATTTTAATTATTAATATGTGTTTTAAGTTATTATTCTAATATTTTTATTTACATTCATGTGTATTTTAATCTAGAAAAAAGTATTCTTAAGCTCTTAAGCTTGACCCTTCGGGTCTTGCGAGCCGCGTGAACCAGCGGGCAGGATTTTTTCTAGGCGTTTAGCTAGCAAGAATTTGCGTTCTCATAAGGCGTAGAGCTCAGCAGAGAATTTCGATTCTCTGGTTCCAAGAATTGTACTGCAGATTATCTTGGTGATCCTGATATCCTGATGCGGTATTCCTGTTTTTACCGACTTTGACTTCCTAATTAGATTTTGTTCCAAAGGTGCTCTACGTTTTTGGTGGGTTTCGAGGCTTCCAGAATGAAAGAGACTCGGATCCGTCTAAGGTGTGCGATGCTGGTTATTCTGCCTGTGTCAGATGCGTTGATTTTTTTCCATTCTTCCATGCTCTGGAATTTATTAATTGTAAGGACAGCTTCAGTGGTGTTTCAACCAAGACATCTTTAAAATTCGCACGATCTGTCTGTTTCCATTAACGATGATTTTGTAAATAAAGGACAGCAGGAATAATGTGGTGCTCGAGTAAACTTTAGACGCTGGACGATCTGTGGAGCTGTCAAATCACCTTATTAATCAGTTTACAAAGGTATTCCCGAGTTAAGGGAGTGTGCGGTATGGACTTCACCCTGTGAGTGAATTTTTTTTTTTTTAATTTGTTTTACTTTAATAATTATCTTAATACTCAAAGCAAGAGTCGTCATTTTAATGTTTGTTGAAATTTGAGCAATTACTTAAATTAATTAATCGATGTGGAAATTATCAGTGTTCTTACAGGAAATAAATACTTGAAGTTAGAAGAATTAAATAATGAGTAGTTATATTAATGTACTTGTAAATGAAATGATTTGAAGATTTAAGTAATGAAAAGTTATTTAAATATACCTGTAAATGGAATAATTAGAAAATTGGTTCATCCAACTAAATTGTGAGTTTAATGTAAAAAAAAAAAATTAGTACACCTAACATGAGTGTAAGATGTAAAATGAATATGTTAATTTACATCTTAAGGTTAATTTGTAGGGGACTGATCAGTTTACCTAGTTATCATATGTTTGAATATTCTAGGAATTAATAAATGTGTTTGATATATATTTTATGTTTCATTTGTTTAATTTAGTGTATAATTTACTGTGGTCTGTTATGTCCCTCCATTTGTTTGAGCCGGGAGGCTTTTAAGAAACATGGAGTAATTAATTGAATTGGGGTTATTGATATTTCCTTTTGCATAGGTTACTCACAACGCGAACATAAAAGTTAAATTGTACTACCACTATACGAATGTTTATAAGAATGTCGATATGATGTATGAATGTGTTTTGAATGTTTTATATTATATTTTTGAGTTAGTGTGTCCGGCACCATGAATCAAAGTTAAAGTTTTAAAAAGGTATAAGACACCTAATTTTAAGATATGTAACAAAAGCCCTGTGTGACTATCAGATCAGGTGTGCAGGTCTATCAGATCAACTTGACATCTTAAGTTTAACTCAGAACTGACCATTAGTTTCACAACAATACTTTTCTTAGGGGTGCACTATGCTTCCTTTGACATTGTTTACACAAATGCAAATACAACATTACAACTTCATATGTAATATTTTTGTATTTACCTTGCAAATCTTTAAGCATACCTGTTCTTCCTCCATGGCCCATTCTAGTGGGAGTTTCAAATAGAATGCTGAATAAATCATCATTAGTAACATTATACTGGATATTCATTTCTCCTGGTTTTAAGGTTAAAATGAATTTTTCTTCATCATTAATATTTAAAACATCAAAACATTTTAATCATTTGTAATCCGAAGGTTACAGCACTTAGTTTTTGCAGAAATCACTTCAGAAAATATTTTAGAGTACTTTTCTTGTGAAAAATAAAAACAATTGTTTTCTTGTTTACTCGCAATTAATGCATTTAACTTTTCAAAGAAAAGTTCATGATTCACTAATTCAATATAAATTATGGTATCGGATAAAAAAACAAAATTTAAGAAAATGTTGTGGGTACCATCAAACCTTGTATAAGACTGACAAACAGTGTTCCAGAGTATAACAAATACATGCCACATAACTTCAACCACAGCAGAACAACAGATTTGGCAACAGACTGTCGCCACTCTGTTGACCTTGACTTCTCTTTTCGACCTCCACAGAATATATGTGATTGTCAACATACACCAGTGATGGTCCAAATGTACAAGAATATAATGAAATATTCGGTCTTAATAATTACCGACGTATTTGGTATGTGTTGACATTCAACGGCAAATGTCAACATTCTCCACTTTCGGTCTTTCACAGTAACATAGATATGATACTACTTCTGTTTATTCATAGTTGGATCCAAACTGAAAAATCATTAATGCAAAAGTAATTGAATAATGTCTTCTGTCAAATACTGATTGACTTTCTTAACTACAGCAAAATTTCATGCATTATTTTATCCTACAGCTCTTTAGAGTAGTTTCTTCATGTATTACTTTATACCAATTACTTCACTCAATGCTTTAATCAATATTTGAGCAAAATGGCAATATATTACTGTTTAATAGTTTTAAATTTTATAAAATTTCGCAATTCAGAAAATTTCTTCATATTGTACATAATTTAAATTATTACAATAGATAAAACATAGAGTTTATTACAAATAATACTTTTAAGCTGACTACTTACCTGGATGATACGACTTAAATAATCACAACATTGTGGTTCATTCTTGAGAACTTCACATTTTTGAATTTGTTCTTTTAAAAAGCGGGGAGTTAAGAAATGACATCTCACAGCATTTAAAATATCAGGTAATTTTGGACAGCGTCTAGGTTTGTCATGCTTAACCCAACGTAGCACTGCATTAAACACTTCCATTTCACTTCGAACATTCAGTTCATCTCTCTTTATTAACATGATCATCTGGCAAACTGATAATGCCAGAAATTCTTCTCCTTGTGACACCTAGAAAAGCAAGAAATTTTAATTTATTATATTGATACTAAAATTCTGACATTTCATCAAACTTTTAAATGATTGCTCACAGTGTGTTTCAGCACTTGCTTAAAGATACATCAGACCTACATGCTACTCTATGATGGGACAAGTTATCTAATCAAAATATCACACTTCACGAAAAATGCTTATTTGAGAATTCTAAATCCACAGATTTCTCTTTTCTCTAATCAAAGTATCTACCTGTTATCGCATCCCTTTATATTATTTTATATCACATTCAATTAATATTTTATTTATTGATTATATTAATGTTACATATATTTTGAGAAATGAGATTTTTTCAATTGTATAAACAGTTTCTTTATTAATACAGTACAAAGTCTAATCCGGACGTCCATTATCTGGAATGATCTAAATCCGGACCTCAAAGCCACAAACTTTTTTTTTTTTTTTGTATGCTTTATGCATGCGCGTTGGGAGGATGTGTCTCCAGATATGTTAAAAAAGGCTTGGCATAATTTATGGCCAGCTACCATATTTCACAATGACGATGAAGATGATAGAAGTGAATATGAAGGTTTTCGGACATCGCAAACTAAAGGTGAAATTTTCCAGTTATTGGATTTTGTAAAGAAATGTGGAGAAGCAGTAATAAATGAAGATAACATTACAGAAGTTTTTCATTGTGTCAGCAATGCCCCAATCATCAATCAATTAACAGCCGGCGAAATCTGTAGTATGGTTCTAAATCCAGAAAATACCGCTTCCGATAGTGAAGAAAGTGACAGAGAGGTTACTGAAAACGAACAAATTTTGATTGACAAGTTAGTCAGTATTCTCGACACAGCAATTACAGGACTTGAACAGTGGAACTTTGTAACTGAAGAAGAAATTATGTCTGTTTATAGAATTAAAGAGAAAGTATTAGCACAAAAAACGAAGCAACTTAAACAATTTACATTGAAAGAAATGTTTAATAAAGTAAACAAATAAATAAATATTAAGCTTTTTGTAAATTTTGATACCCTTTGGATCATAATTGCTCTTTATTTCATAAATTACAGTTTCATATTTTTAATTGTATAATTTCTGCATGCAATCTTACCAGATTTAAATTGATGTTCTATAATCCGGAAAAACACCTAACCCGGAATCACCGAAGTCTCGACGAGTCTGCATTACGAACTTTGTACCGTATTAAACAAAAACATTCATCTATTTTATATCCTTGACGCCGACCTGACGAATCATTATTTATTATATTTTGCTTTCCAACAAAAATTTCTTTTCATATGCTAAAAATAGATTTTGTTAATGAAACTCATAGGCCAAAAGATTATATTTAGTGCTATTTTAATTAAGAATAACTGATATGTTATTCACCATAAACCCAGAAGCAGCGGCAGAATTTAGGGAAGACACAATTTTTGGAATTTGGCGAAGCACCAAGCGGCAAAATTAAGGGATGAAGTTTTTATAATTTTGAAGGGGAGGGGAAGCACTGGGATCCAAAGTTAAGGTGCGGCAAAAATTTAGAACTTAAGAAGGGGCTTTGTAGCAGAATTTAGAGACTGCACCAGGCAGTATCTAGCGCCGGCCGTAGATAAAGCCTTAAGTATATGTGGGAGTTTATTTATTCAGGACTCAGATTAGTTTTAAGCTTGTGCAAGAAATAAACGTGGGTATAGTAAATAACAAATACAATTCAGGCTTAATTCAGTATGCAATAGGAGAACCATTAGTTGCCAATCTTGTCATACACAGCCAACAATATATAACGGAAGCTATTAAGCTAGGCTAAAATTATCTTAACTGATTCTAAAGCATTTCAGTTAATGTAGCAGACTGCGCTGCTCCTTAATGTTCTAATTTGATCCAGTTTAATATTTTTGGCACTGTTAATATTACAGCAATTTTATAAAATCTTAGCTTGAACTTTCAATTATATTGAAAAGAGTTTCCAGTTCTGGAGCTGCCAAAGGATCTACAAAACAAAACCACGTTTCGATGTCCATAAACAAAAAGTGGAATTGCTGCAAAAAATGGATAAAGGCATATCCCTTTCAAATTACATGAGGAGTATAGCATTGGAAAGTCAACTGTATGTGACATAAGAAAAAAGAACTTTTTTTTATGGAAGCAACTTAAACAACTTACCTTGAAAGAAATGTAATTAGCAAACAAATAAGCTTTTTTTTTTTTTTTTTTTTTTAAGTTTTGATACCCTTTAGATCATAATTGTTCTTTATTTCATAAATTACGATTTCATATTTTTAATTGTATAATTTCTGCATGCCATCTTACCAGATTTAAAATGATGATCTATTATCCGGAAAGATTCTAAATTCGGAATCGCCGAAGTCTTGACGAGTCTGGATTTCAGACTTTCTACTCTATATCAATATATTTCTGTAAGTACAACACTCTACTGTTCATTTCATATATTTTTGCAATAATTAAACTTTTTTAATTTAATACCTGTGACAGTGTTACTTATTTATATATCATTTACTTAACGCTTGATACAACCTCAATTTCTAATTAAATAACATTTTTTTGTATGAACCTTTGAAGAAGGGACACTTTATCTAAAGAAGAAAATGTCTGGTACATTGGGTGTTCCTTAATAAGAGGTAATACTGTATTCTATTCAATACTTTGCAACATAATTTAAGAAATAAATATCGTCATTCCTGAGCTGCCATGGAGTTCTTAAAAAATCTTCACGATCATCATTTGAAAAACCATAACTAGAAAATACATCTTTAGGTAATTGATCAGATCCTGAATTATATTTAGATTTAATAATTGTATCATGATTGGAATGACTAGAAGAATCAAGAAAACCTGAATTTAAACATGGTTGGATGCCCTTATAAACCAAACAAAAGTTACAAAACATATACAGTCAAAAGTCTTTAATCCGGAATGATCTATAATCTGGACTTCAAAGCTACAAACTTTCTGCGCATGCGCATTTACTGTATAACGGATGGCATAAGCTAAGCTAAAATTATCTAATTATCTATTTCAGTTAATGTTGCACATTGCGTTGTTCCTTAATTATAATTTAGAATACATACCTAGGATAAATATAAAAAGAGACACATTTCTTGAACTCCCAGTTTGCTTTTTGAAAGCTTACTGAATGGTAAAACATGTGATTAATAATTTTATTCATGCTTAGAGCCATGAATTTTTAAATCAAAGAGTTAACTGCAATTTTTTCAATTAAAAGCATAAATGTTTTTTGGGATTCAATATTAAATGCATATTGTGATAATTATATCTATTATACAATGAGGAATATTAGAGATCAATTGCACATCATCATTTAAATCTTGAGCTATAATGTATTTTTGAGTTCATTTTCAAAAGTTTCATATTTACTTTACATACACAATACTCTAATTCAAACACATAGAATGAACATATTTATTTTCTTTCTACTGAAGATACATTTACACATGAATTCAAATTCTCCCAGCACAATAGCAACCTTGCATAAGTAAGATAAGATAGCATACCTTGCTCCAGATAGAATTCCTTTAAGGGGAAGTGAAACCACTTTTATATTACTGAATAAAATTACAGCATGTGGCTAATATATATTTGATTGCTATTGTTTATGTACTCAAATTATCAGCTTTTTGAAAGATTTCCTTTGAAGAATTAATTCCTACTCTACATGCAGAAAACTATAAAAACTACACGGAACCAACAATCTGGGAACTACATATTAAACACTGGGACTTATAGTTTCAGCTCAAATTCTCCTTTTGAGAAAAAGGAGGCAAAACAGATTAAATGAAAATTCAAGATAATGATGTAGTATGTAATTTACCACTTTTACTTATTCACTTTTAGATGAAGCCACTAAAATTAGTTATTTTAAATTTTTTCCCGTTCCATTTGTAGAGAGTACTAATATTCAAACAAATGAATTGTGCTGGGAGAATTTGAAGCTAAAGATTTTGCACAAAAAGCACAGTACTATACCACATATGCTTCTATTTTATCTCACAGAAGCATGATGGAGATTCATTAATAAAAATAATGGCCATGCTGCATGACCTTCATCATGTATATGGTTGAATGACTCATAAAAATGGTCTATCTAAAAGCATTCCCCCACCCCTTCCTTTTTTGTCAAAATGATAAGAATTTAAATTTAATGGAATTTTAGAGGCACTATCTAGGAAATAACTAACGAACTAAAAGGGCAGATCACATACTACATCATTACTAAACTCAGATTCTTCTCTACAAAATGTAAATATAAATCAGCATCTCTTTTCTGCAAGTGCATAGTCAGTGCATTTCATAACCAGAATATCGATAACTTAAAGAATAAAATCTCAAATTCAGAGATTAGTACACAAACCAAGATTTAGAAAAACTGAGAAATAAATTGTGCTCTCAGCCAAAGGTGACAAAATTAGAGATAAATAGGGGAGGAAGTCACATTATATCACCCATTCCTTTTTTCAGTATATATATATAGGAAAACATAAATAAAATATATGAAGTTACATTTTTCAGATGATCAAGCATGTGCTTGCTGTTCTTTTCTGACTTTTGAAAGATGAACTAAATACTTTGTAACAGAGTCTATAGCGTCATAAAAGAATAATAGGGTTAGTCATTATGGCAAATAACCTACTTCATGAGAGATGCCTCTATGAAGCCTTTTTAAAGGAAAATGGCCTAAGCTCAAATTACATATGGAGGAAAACAGAAAAATCCAAAAGGGTAATCTTTTCAGGCATGGGAAGCTGATCTTGTGACAAATTACCTAATCTAGTAAGCAAGAACTAAAACAACATGATTTTTTTTTTTTTTTTGTGTGTGTGTGTTTGTGAACCTTAGAGAACAGGTACGTTTCTATTTTAGAATGGTAAAAACACTGAAAAATAAACTAAAAATGCATTCAGGTTGTAGGGTTGTGCACTCTTTTTTTTCTAAAATGAATGTTGAGAAACCTAGTGAACTGTTTAGTGACTTATTGCCGAGTTCAAATAACTAAAGATATAGATTCAAGGACTACCCTTTATTTCACAAAAAAAATAACAGTCGGCCCCTTTCTCAGGCTTAAACTCAGAATAAGAAATAAGAACTAAACTGTAACTAACTAAAGAAGACTTAGCCAAAGCTAAACACAAGTATCTAACGTAGTTGGCCCTTAATTTAAACTAGCCGGCGAATATCAAAAGGCACGTAATATACGCCCGAGCGTAACAGCTTCAAGTCAGACTTAGCCTGAAGGCAAACATGCGCTACTCTGGATTCCTAGCTGTCTCTCACGAAGTAAGTTAAACCTTCCTTAAATACTTCTTCAAACTCATTTGCATTCAAAATGATTCTAAAAACTCATTCTTGTAAGGAGTTGTAAGTGGAAACAAGAATTGATAGGAAAGGGACTTTAAAATTAAAATAACTGTTATAAAATTAAAATATACCTTATAAGGTAAAAAGCAAAATATGCACATTCACGATTTTGATACAGTGCCAATGATACATAAATTGGGTTTTGTACTTAGATATGCCAACTCAGTGTATAAGATCATGTTTTTAATCCTGAGTATCACTTATTTTAATTAAGAGTAATTTTGTGGTTTTAAAAAATGCATTACTAAAAGTTAAATGTTTTGCATCTTAGTATGAAATAAGGAACATTTCATTACAATATGGGGGGGGGGAAGAAAAGAAAAGAAAAATGATGAAATCTATATAAAAATATAAGAATGTTAAAAGAATCAACAGTCAAACAATTTTTAATTCAAGATATATTTCAACATTAATGAATAATGAATTAAATAAATAGTATCCTTGTTTCACTCATTCTCTCCCCTCATTTCTTTTCATTCAGCTTTGTATGTTAATTTTGTTTGTGATTATAAAGCAGTTATTACCACTGCTGGGTTTCATCAACGGTAAATTTATTTTAAGTATGTCTTTAGAGTAGAAACAAGAAGATAGAAAGGAAGGATGGAACAATGCACTGTATAAGTTTTAACTGAAAAGTTTGGCAGACCAACCCCGAAAGCCTGATTGTTTTGAAACCTGAAAAGCCTGATTATTTTGAAACCATTTTGTGAAAGATTTTATCTCAGTAAAAGAGTAATATATTAAAGTGTAACAAATTAATTCATATGTAGAAACTCCCCCAAAAATCTTGCTTTGAGATGAAATTTAAATGAAATAAAAAAAAAGTTATATTGCAATTTTCAAAGATTAGTGCAAAATCCATTAAGAGCAGCTTATATATATTTTATATGCAAAAAACTTGTAATTGAATAAAGTATAAAGCCAAGTTGTATTACTTAATTTTCTGCAACTGATATGCCAAATCTTCTCAAATTTGCATTTTCTCCAAATTTAAATACAGTATTTGGAAAACAGTTTCTTTTAAAACAAAAATTATCATTAAAAGTGGCAATAATGTTTTCAATACTTCTCAATCCCTCTGTTTAAGCCTACATAAAGAACTGTAAAAGTAGATTGAAACATAACTTTTGTATATTATAAAAAAATTTCTGTCAATTAATACATAAAAAAATTTTCATTACTTAAGAAAATTTTTAACATATACTGATATTAATGATTAAAAAAGTAAAACATGAGATAAATAAATTTTCAGCAAAGTTGAGCTGTAATAAAGATATTAGTGTAAATTAATTCATGTTCATTTTCTGTAGTTGGCCCTTAATTCTAATGAATGTATGCAATCTACTGCTTTTAGTTAGATTACTGCTTCCACTTATTTCACAAAAGCATGGTGGAGATTCAGTAATAAAAGTTATGATTATTTTTTAGCCAAGTTGCTAGACATTCGTAATGTACATGTCTGAACGACTCATAAAAACAGCTCTTTTAAGCACTATTTCTACTTTTGTTTTGTAAACTTAGGAATTTAAATTTAATGGAATTAAAGTTTAATACATTATAAAATTAATTAATGGAATCATTTTGATTTATGCATACTTAATTACTTTTCTAAAAATCTCATTTTAGTGGTGCCACCTAAAAAATAATTAAATAACTAAAAGCAGTAGACTGCATACTAGATCATTACCTCATTTTCTCTCCCAGACTTCTCCTTTTTTTGCTCTAAAATACTTTTATCATCCAAAACTTAGCCTCTGTATATAGAGGCTAAGTTAAATGACCCCTGTATTATTTAAATTTATGCACTTGCAGATGCCATATGCCAATATTACAAATGATATATATAAATATTTGGATAAACAATCTCATAATCAGAATTTCAACTCACCTCAACAATGAAAAGCAAATGACTTATTTAATTTACATAACTTATTTAATCTCTAAACTAAGATGGTATGGGCAATGTACTTTTGGAAAGTAATCATATTCTAGATCCATTATTCTTGCAGAACAAACTCTAACAGCAACCTGAATACCATAACTGAAACCATTTATGACAAATACAATTCCTAATGAAAATAACAAATTTCAACATAACGATGCTTCATTATATTGCAAAGTTTAAGAAATGGTTTAAAAACAACAAGAAGACTCTCCATTGCTATATTCCTCAAATTTGCTAGACATTAATCTAATCAAGCATTTGTAGTTAGACTTAAAAGAATTAGTATGGCAGCATAAGAATACCTGGTTTTCAGAATAAAAAAACTTTGCTTTTGCAGTCATGGTACCAAACATCAACAGACACTAGCTGAAACTAAGTCTCATCAATAAGAATTGCAGGGCTTTTATGGCAATAAGATCAGTACTTGTCTCAAAGAAAGTAAGTGATTTTAATGATTTGGTTGCCTGATGTACATTCATTAAGTATGCAGAAAAATAAATCAGTTGACGAAAAAAATTCTGCTTAATACCTGTGAGAAGTGTTGGTCAATAAATTGATTAGCTATGCTAGATAGGTTAGAACAGCCATGCTGCAAAGCAAAATCAGCAATTCCAATGCAATTACTAGGGTCCAGCTGATTCTCTAAAAATGAGCAGCATGCATCAATAATATGGTTCACCTATTAAGAAAAACTGTTATGAATTTGCTGTTTGGATACATCATTATCATAAATATCAGTAACTGGATTTAATACATACAACAAGAGAAAATGCTAATCTAAAAGAATAAAAAGTTAAAAGTTCAAACAGTAACATCAATATATATAAATTGGGAAATGTTTTTTGTGAACCAATTATTTCCACTGGAAGTGAGCAACAATATTCTCATTTTATCTAGTATAATTTATTCTGAAAAAGAAATTTTTTGAAAAATTTTTTTTTTCATGTCATATTTTAGAAAATTATATCAAAATAAGCAAAAAACATTTTGCAGATGATTAGGAAGGCATATGTGTTAGGAAAGTATATACAGAAAGAGAGGCAACTTTGATGAAAATTCAATCTCTCAATCCATAGTCTTTTTGAAACAGAAAGTAATAATATTGCAGATTGTTCTTAATTACTTGCATTTATTTTTAAAATTAATAAAATAAAAACACAAATAAAAAACAATATAAACAATAAAATTCAAATATAATACTCAGCACAAACAGAAAAAAAGAATATAAAAAGCAAGCAAAGTATGATGTTACGTATCTTGTAACTTCTTTTTCAGGGAAGGATGCCATGAGAAGTGCAACATAGTCTCATTTCTGATTCTTAAATGAAAGTTGGAAAATTACTTCAAGTGATGCCTCTATTCACCACAATGAAAAATGTAGATGAAACTAGACTTTTTTAACAACATGATTCTAAACCAAATGCTAAAATATAGAAGTAAAATATGCATTGGTGAGGAATTTAAAAAAATGAAAAAAGCCTTCATGGTTCCCACAAAGGCAACTGCAAGACTGTAGACGGAACTACCTGAAGAAGAATTACTAAGGAAATGAGATGAAGAACTTTTGACTAAAAAGCAAAGGATTCCACTAATGATTGATACCTACTGTAAGGAAGACACATATGTCTAAAAAATTACAGATGAAGTTAAATTATTTTCCATCTCTGTCACCCAGCCTGTGGACCAAGATGTGAGCTGAAGCTTGAAGTATCATTAAAGATGCTTATTTCACCTATTTTGGAAGGACATAAGAAAGATAGAGTTGTAATGTTTTCTGCTTGATATTTACTAATGTTAGAAAAATGTCTGCAATTTGTTTCAGACCCTACCATTTAAACTGCCTTCAGCCCAAAGACTTAGCACAAAGTGTTAAAGAGGAAAATGATACAACAAGAATTTATCAACCACTAGCAGCTTCGCTGACAGCCTTTGTCTGGCTTTTAAATGTACCGGAAAAATGGCTGAAGGGAACACTGTTAATTATCCTAATAAATAAATTAACCAACTTTCCTTTGCAAAATCTTAAGAACTCAAACGGTATAAAGGAGGTTAAGAACTTTGTTTCCTAAAAAAAAATCACACAAAACTTTTCAATATCTTAAAAACAGTGAAATAACATAATAATAATAAAAAATAAATAAATAAAAAAAAAAAAAACTGAAAAGCAAAGCATAATTATTGATATTTTATCTTATATTTTTCAAGAGAAAAAAATCAAGGAAATAAAATATCCCTTAATACAAACATTAATTATCCTAATAAAAAGCTAACCAACTTTCGGTTGGAAAAAAAAAAAAAAAAAAAAAAAAAAAAAAAAAAAAAAAAAAAAATCAGGTAAAACTTTCAATATCTTACAAACAAGTGAAATAAGCAAAAAATAAACATGAAAAGCAACCCAAAAAACATAAAATTCCGTGCAGAATTTTACTCTGCAGAACAACTTTTATCAAAAAAAAAAAAAAAAAAAAAAATAAGTATATATATATAAAAAAAATGACAATGTAATATGCCAATCTGTTAAAAACAGTGACATAAGAAATACCATAAAAAATTGTTGCCAAACCCATATTTCTAAAAGAATGAAACTATTCAAAATGATGGGATTTCAACAATAATCTATCAACAACAATAAGACAGGAAAATTGTCCCCAAAATCACATTTTTAAAGATGTGAGAAGTGTACTCGGAAGCTTTATTTAAAATTAAAAAAAAAAAAAAAAAAAAAAAAATCATTTTTCCAAAAATCTTTTTGTAAAAGCAGTCACAAAGATGAAAGTTTAACGTGTCCAAAAATCAATGAAAAATAAACTGTACATTTTTAAACATAAACATTTTTAGAAAAATTCCTGTTGAAAAGGTGTTAAGCTCACTTTGTTAAATAAATTCGTATTTAATAGATTTATTGAAACACAAAATTTATTTTAAGTTCGTAAAATAGCTAAGTGCCTACGTTTCATGACGATGTGAAAATGGAGTGTGTAGAGTAAAATCTCGCTTTCCTACAGCCCATTATGTCTCAAAATGACGCGATTTCGTCACAAAACATAAAATAAAAAAAAATTCTAATTCGAATTTCGAAAAAAAAAAAAAAAAAAAAAAAAAAAAAAAAAAAATGCTTCGACGTGCACTGGCTCTTGTCTAGATGCACCTATGTACCAAATTTCGTAGCCGTGGGTCTATTAGCTTACGCACAGCGCGAACGAAAGACAGACACACACAGACAGACTCTTTGTTTTATTATATGTAGAGATGGAACAGCTAGGGAAAAAAGATATGTAAACATTTTGTGAAAGTGACATGGAGCTCTTCCAAGCATGATATAACAATATTGATATATATATGTGAAGAACCAAGTGTACTGACATTACGACAGAAAATATAAGACAGAATACTGATTTCTAGACTTCTTCATCCAACATTCTGAAGTGAACTTAATAAGTGAACCATTTAATAATTAATAATTATTGCAATTTATACCTAATAGAATTTGTTTACTAGGATTATCATTTGCATCTCTTAGAATCAATTCTAACACTAATCAATTCTTTTAATATTCATCAATTAATTTAACAATTCTCCACAAGATCATCCACTTTTCTTATAGTACAATATTTAGCAAATTAAAAATCCAATTACTTAAAAATTTAAAAGTAACAGCAGAGTTTAACTGAGACAAATAATTCTTATAGACTATGCGCAGATTGAAAAACAAGTCAGATGAGCCAGCTGCAGCTTACAAGTTTTAAATATTATTTTCATGTTGGAGACTATTTGATATGATCATATAAGAATCACTATCAAACAGAACTTTATATTCATAAAAGCATAATATTAAGTCTTTTATATTAAATAGATAAAAATAATTAAGTACTTATAAAAACAAATCTGAATATTCTGATTTAGGTTTTATTCATGAACACATCCTTTCCTTACAACTACAGCCATACTAAAATTCTCAATTTTCTTTTATGTATACAGTCACATTTTGATACGCAGAAACTATGACCTCAAAAAATTGACCAATTAATCAAAAATTCCATTCATCCATTAGAGTTAGCTTTACTCTTAAATTCAATATTCTAACATTTGATTCAACTTGAATTTCAAGTAACTGAATTTCAGAAGCTTATTTTCAAGCTTTCTTTCAATAACAATATAAGCAAAAACTGATTATAGAACTATCTTTTTAGAGACTTAGGAAGATTATTAAAGAAAATAAAAATATACTTGGAACATAGTAGCAGCAGGAAGCAGATTGCACACATTATTTTCTTCAATCTTCACTTGCCCAGTATATGCAAAATGAATGATAACAGCCATGCTCATAGGGCATACACCTTGAATATTAATAATAGACATTTCTGATTCCTTTAACCCACTTGTGAACATAGCCTGAAAATATAACCAATATATGCAGAAATGATTGTAGGTTAAATCTAAGATAATAAACAATGAAATAGGACTATGTTAACATATATTTTTAAAACACTAAGTGTTAATACTAAAAAAATTACTTCAGAAATTTCTTTTTCTTTTCTGAAGCTACAGACTTATAAGTAGACAGACAGACAGACAGAAAGAAAGAAGTACAGGAGGCACCAAAACATCGCCATGGGCAAACCTGGTATTGCCCTACTGCACTAACCATCTATAGAAGATACCCTGACCGGGCATGCTAACACCATGCTCAGGAATTAGTTATGGTATGTGTTTCGTTGCTTGTTTGGTTTTTTTGTTACACAATCCACAGTTTATAAGTTATCATTCATAGTGCAGTTCTTAATACAGCATACAGTTTATGAATTCATTTCATGGTACATAGTGTTGAGTACGTAATACAGCATACAGTTTATGAATTCATTTCATGGTACATAGTGTTGAGTACGTAGTATTGGTGCCTCTGTCACACATTGCCCAGTATGAATAGTTCATAGTTTGTAGTATGAGAAAAGTTACGGTTGTCTCAATAAATGGATATATTTAAGTGTGTTTTCTAAAGGCACTCCTGTATAGTATGAGGGTGAGAGTGGATATTCTTATTGTTGCGTTTCATGAACTTGGAGGATTATTTGGGGTTGTAAGCTATGGATGACACAGGTCCAGTCCTTGGTGGTGTAAGAAATCAATAATATTTTTGATGTTTTGGAAAACTTTACGGTGCTTAATAATGAATCTTCTAAATTCTATTCCAGTGTCGGTGGGATGGCGAATGTGATAACACGGTTTGGGATGACGGAGAGGGGAAAATCATCTTATTTTCAGCCCAAGAAATTTTGAAGAAGTCTTCAAATCGACAGCCAGCTACAATTTCCCATGTTACAAAAGAGGTTTTAATAAAAATTCAATATCATTTTATAGTGAGAATCCAAGTAACCATGCTATTTAGCTACAAATTATTAAACCGCATTTTACTCAGTAAACTCTGATGATCATTGTAAGCTACCTTTTCAACATCAAAAGGTTATACACATATTTAACCATACTTCCATTTCATAAATAATTAATTATAATAATGAGTCTACATCAAATTTGAAAAACTATTTTGTTCATAAAATTGCCTACCTAGTTCATTACATAAAAATGCTGTGAAAATTATGTTGTGTATGCCATCACATACAGCACTAATAATCTGTTAGTCAAAAACATGCAGTAAATCAATCGAGTAAATTTGTATAGTTCTCAAAGAAAACAAAATAGTTTATATTCTGAGGACGATTGGTTGCATTTGGATGAAAGAGAAAAAAATATTTATTAAATTATCTAAATATAACTTAGTTAACAATGATTATATTATGAGGATATCTAACCCAAATGTGAAAAACTGTTAAAAAATTCCAATTTCTGCATTCCAATTTTTGCAATTTGCAGGCAGATACAGCATAACTATTAATGGTAACAGGTGCAGCCGAAAAACAAACCAATCAAAATCTTTTTTTTAAAACTGGCTACTAATTTTCCAGACTTAATTTTTTAAATATCAGGTAATTTACATGCAAGAGGTTTTTAGCCTCATACTATCCTGTGAATTATACACGATGATCAGCATTATTTCACTCTTTTGATCCTAATGGCCATGTATATCCTAACCATAAATTTGCAATGCTGTTAGGATCAAGTGCTAAGTAGCAGCAGTTCCAACAGCTAAAAGGCCATTATTAAAATAAGCTACACAAATAAAGACTTATATTTTTAATTTTATAAATGCAAAAGATTAAATGCGTGGAAAAAAAAGTTAATTTAAATGAATCTGGTTCTAGTGTAGAACTGGGTGCCCCTTCGATTAGTGACAATTTTTTTAAAATTTTGGCGATGAAACTTCACTTTTGGTTACCATGATAGTTTTAACTTTGTTTTAGCTTCCTGATTTTATTTAAATGAAAATAGATTTGATGTGTACATGGGAATAATTTAAAGCAGTGCACAATACCTAGTTCTAGGATGTTTTTTTAAGTGAAAACAGATCGATGTGTACAAGGACACAGAGTTTGTGCAATTTTTTGACTTCTTATTTTGGTTTTGTGTAGCAGCCATCTACTTTTACCATGACTCTGAATGAATTTTTTCACTGAAATTAAGAAATCAGGTCAATTTAAAACTGAAATAAAAGTATATTTAAAGAAAAACAGTCTTCATTTTATCTTTATTATCATATGGAATTGCCACTCCCTAACTAGATAAGAGATATTAGTTTTTCAGATGAAACTGTAAAACACAGCTAAATCTTGAATTTCTATACAATCGACAAAAAAAAAAAAAAAAAAAAAAAAAAAAAAAAAAAAAAAAAAAAAGTATAGAATTACAGTCAAAAGTCGTTAATTCGAACACTCATAATCCGGACCTCAAAGCTACAAAATTTCTGCGCATGCACAGCTTTACGACTGCACATATGCGTGTGCGCATGCGCGTTTAATGCATAACGGACGGTATAAGCTAAAATTATCTATTTCAGTTAATGTTGCAGATTGCGTTGTTCCTTAATCTTCGAATTGGATCCGGCTTATTATTTTTTGCAGACTGTTAGAGCAATTTTATAAAAGTAAGCTTGAACTTCGATTATGTCAAATAGAATTTCCGATATATATTTACAAATATGTAAAGGATCTACAAAGCGAAAGTATGTTTCGATGTCCATTAAACAAAAAGTGGAATTGCTGCAAAAAATGGATAAAGGCATATCCTTTGTTTCTCTAACCATTCCGAAATCTGTTTATCAATTTCAAGCTGCTCTGCGGAGGGGGGGGGGCGTAGCGGTGCGCAATGAACTGAAAATTGATTTGTCAGCACTATCCTTATCTTCAGGGCAGTATGCGTAATATATGCTTTACGCATGCGCGCACTGAAAGAAATGTTTTATGAAGTAAATAAATAAATAAATATTAAGCTTTTTTTTGTAAATTTTGATACCTTTTAGATCATAATTCTTTATTTCATAAAATTACGGTTTCATATTTTTAATTTTATAATTTCTGCATGCCATCTTACCAGATTTAAACTGATGATCTATAATCCGGAAACGCCAAAGGCCTGACGAGTCTGGATTAAAGACTTTTGACTGTATAAGCTATATTACCAAAATATTATAACTGATACATAATTTGATATGAGTGTATATAAAGGAAGATCTGTTTTAGTAAAGTAAGACGAAATAAAACCTAAAGAATATAAAAAATAACATACATAAACTAAACTTTAAAATTCACATTTATTTATTGTTTTTTGTAAATGCAAAACTTACTTTAAAATATGGACTTGCCGAAGCTAATACTATTTTATGAGCATGGAAGATTTCATTGCTAACTCTTATTTCAATATCACAGAGTTTCTGATGCTGTCTCATCATACACATGACTTCGAAAGCTTCCTTAGGATAAGATGCAACAGTAAATCGCATAGCTCCATCAGAACACAAGTCTTCTCGGTCTTCCTCCATTGATCGAGATCTAAAACATTGTGGCCGATTTGGCATTTGTTCTTTTTTCTTTGCCATTTATTGACTTGAGAACAAAGGATCTTCACTAAGAGGATTAATTAGTAATATAAAATAAGGTATAACACTGCAATTTTTATAAGCAAGGTGTTTTTTGCACACAATACGGTATGATGTAGGAATTTTAATCGGCATTGTAGTTAGAAACCTGAAATTCAAAAGAACATATAGGGTAATTAAAAAATATCACAAAGTAATACGACAACTTGTAATTTTACAAGCATATACAATTGAACAGATTACAAATAATAAAATATTAACTACATACAAAATATACAAAATCTTTTTTTGTGTGTAATTAAAAGTTCTATTTAATACTGTAAATGTTAACTTAATAACTTAATTCACGAAGTTCCATGCCATTTTCTGCATAATTCATGCATATACAAACAAAGTCCAAAATCTAGAGTTGTCAGGAATTCAGTGATTCTGGATTTTAGATCACAAATTTAAATCTAATAAGATTACAAGAAATGTGAAAGATTGTGAAATAATGAAGCATTTTTTGTCTTAAGGAAACTAAATTTTACCTCGCAAAAATGCTTAACGTTAATATTTGTTTTGCTTCATTAAAAATTTTGGAACTCTGATTATCCACCAAATCCTAACAAAAATCAGAAGGTAAAGAACTATGGTGTCAAAGTAGGAAACCCAGAATTTCACAAAAATGTATTTATCTGGCAATCCATTTATGGCTGCATGCACATTATGCACTCAAGGGTCATGTTTGTGGTTGTTGTGATTAGTGTGTGCAGTGTTTTTCTTGCAACAAATAGAAATGCCCCTGCGGAGTTTCTCTGCTGATGAAAAAGAAAGTGCTACATTTCTTCAGAAATATGATATTTTGCCTAGCAGTACAGTGAGTAGGAATGTGCATTCCATGAAGTTAATTTGCACAATTCCTCTGAATCTGTCGATTCAATTTTTTTTAAAGTTGAAATAGATCGATGTGTACATGGAGAGCAGTGTCAAGTTGCTCTGCAATCCAGAGAATTCTGCAATTTTCTGATTTTTTTAAGCATTAGCAGATCGTTACATGCATAAGCAGAAGACCGAGGAAAAAATTAAGTGTTTTATTACGAATGTTTCATTGCATTTTTAAATTTAGTCAATTGTTGCCGTTTTATATATTTTTCAGTGTTTCATTCTTCTTCTTCTTCAATAGAAAGACAATGCAGGATGGGCATTCGCCTTCCTCAGAATCGAATTCCAAGCTCTTGTATCCTTGGCCTTGGACATCCAATTAGTTATTTTTTAAATTCTTGAGTCTGTTTCGAAACAGTCAAGCCACCTAAATTTAGGTCTCCCTCTTTTTCGGGTGGTGAATGGTCTAGCCGAGAAGATCTTTTTAGTTACACGATTTCCATTCATTCTGCACAGGTGTCCTGCCCATTTAATTCTCTGAATCTTTATCAATTAGTTCTTTAAAAGATTTATAGAGTTAATTCTTCTTCTCCAGATACTGTTACATTTTATGCCACCAAAAATACTTCTTAGAATCATTCTTTCAAAGACAGAATATTATGTTATTAATTATGTTTTTAAAACAATTTAATTTTATATAGAGACATTATTTCTTGTTCACTAACAAGGTTTCACTGTTTAAGTCCTATAATTGTTATGTCAAAAATTTCCATTAAGTAGTCAAGTGAAATATTTTCATTTTCGATATTTCAATATTTTCTCTATAACTTCCTTCACTTATATTCCCAATATTCACTAAAGAGCCAAACATTATGACCACCTACTCAATAAAGCATTGCACGACCCTTGGCCTGCAAAAAACTGCAACTCGCCTTGGAATAGATGCCACAAGTTCTTGGTATATGACTGAAGACAGGTTGTTCCAAATGTCTACGCAGGGTTCGCATGAAGTCAAGATATTCCAACATGGTGGTGTTTCAATTCTGAGCTGCTGCTCCGTGATATCCCAAATGTGCTTGATCAGGTTCAGATGTGGTAAGTTAGGTGGCCCGGATATTTATTGGAATTTGTCCTTATACTCCCTGAACCACACCAACATAATTCGAGCATTGTGACATGAGGCTTTGTCCTGCTGGAAGATTCCACTTCCAGTTAGGAAGACAGATGCCATGTAAGGATACAGCTATTCACAGTTATGCTCAGACAGTCAGCAGCTTTCATAGTCTCCTCTACAACAACTAAGAGAACATCTCACAAAGCATAATACCGCCACCACCAGCCTGTGTATGATCTGCTGTACGGAAGGAGAAGGAGCAACTGTTCACCAGAAGATGGCATAGCCTGACACGACCATGGATGCAATGAATGAGAAATCATGATTCATGCAACCAGCCAACTATCTTATCCATGGTCCAGTCTCGATGTTCCTAGGCTCACCGCAAGCATAGTTGACAGTGATGCTGGGTCAATAGATACACATGAGTGGGACATCTGCTGTGCAGTCCCATATTCAACTGTGTCCACTAAACTCTGTGTTCAAAAACACTTGCCACTTGGACCTGCCTTGGGCTGGGCTGTAAGCTGAACCACTGCCTGATGCCGATTTTGCTGTTCCAAGTGGGACGGTCCAAAACGTCTTTTTCTTTGATGACACATGGATGTCCAAAACTTTGGCATTTACTACTGGTTTCCTCATCATTTATCCACTTCACATAAATTTTAACAATGGCAAATTGTGAACAACCTACTGGTCATGCAGTTTTGGAAATACGATATTCCGAGTCTTCGAGCCATTACAATCTGCTCTCTTAGATCAGCAGCCTTTCACATGACTCGCAAAAGTAAGTGTAAGAATGAGTGTCCACTGAACTGTGTGTTCCAAAACACTTGTACTTGGATCTGAGTTGTATTGGGTTGTCAGCTGATCCACTGTCTGATGCTGATTTTGCTGTTCCAAGTGGGACGTCTTTTTCTTTGATGACACATGGATGTTCAAAACTTTGGCATCTACTACTGGTTTCATCGTCATTTATCCACCTTGCATAAGTACTAACAATGGCAGATTGTGAACAATCTACTGGTCATGCAGTTCTGGAAATACTCATTCCGAGTCTTTGACCCATTACAATCTGCCCTCTATCAAACTCGCTTAGATTAGCAGCCTTTCGTATCACTCACACACTCATCTTCATTTAGCATTTCTTCACATATTACATTAATTGAAACATTCTGTTGGTCATTTGCTACTTGGCAATATTTTTGTTTGCCATAGCTTCTCCTCATCAGGCATCACCTGTTTAAATATTAACTAATTATTATAATGAAACAGCTTTTACACAGCAACATTAGTTTTTCTTCTTTCCGAATACATCCATGTTTACTGGTTGATTATAATTTTTTGGGATACTTTGTGATTAGTCGCAGTTACCCCATATAAATGAAACATATTCATAATTGAAAACATATCTTTATTTAATTGATATTTGTGAGAATGACTTAACTATTAGTCTTAAAAAATTAGTGCCATAGGTTTCTGCTTGTGTCACCTACATCTATGCAAGCACTTTTTAAATATATGCAAACCTGTCCTCCCATGACCTTGCAATGTTCCCCCACAACAGACATATATTAAAATATTTCAAGAATTCTAGCAAAGCTGTACTGCTGTTTTGATTTTAAAAAGGCTACCATATATTTATATTATCACAGAATTTGATGTGTATTTCAATGCATGAAAATAAAATTCTGTGGAAAGAGTAAAATGGAGATGTTATATTTTATTAAAACTTTAACAAGGAAACAATTAACATGATTAACATTATTAAGCAATTAACAAGGAATAATAACAGTCTGAACAGAGTAATAAGTAGGATTAACTAGAAAGTTTATGAAAAACAATATTTGTAATACTACTTGAGCTTAGCTAAAGTTAATGGGAACCAAATGCTTTCTACTTCTTCCGTTATGCCAAGGAAGCAAGTATGTGCAATATTCCACTTCAAGCAACACTTATTATTGATCCACCTATTACATATAAAGCTAAATATGATAGAAAAATGCTGCCTCTAAAAACCACTTGCGAGTGAAAAATGAAAATGTAGTTCACTAGCCAGCAAGTGTTTTCAGCCAAAACAACATGCAGGATGATTCAATACTGTTGTAGATAATGATTTTTTGGGGGAAAGAGGGACCAGCTAATTGGAATAAAAATCAATTTGTGCCACACTTACTTTTGCTCACAGTAAATTACTCATTCACATCCTACTATTCGTTCATACAACATGCGAGAAAAATGGAAAATTTTCATTAAAAAAAAGTTTAATTAAAGTTCTAGATAACAGATCATTCAGTTATTGGATGTCCAGGTGTTGGATTTTGTACTGTATGTACAGACGCTCCACAGTTTACAAATTTCCACAGAACAAACACTTGTTTTCAAAGGATGAAATTTGTTTGGAGTTGAAAATAAAATAAACAAATGACTGTGCATTATGCCATAGAGTTGCCATTCATGGCTCTGCTTTATGCCATATATCTTGCAATGAAAGGAAAAAAAAACATGTCTAAACAAGTTTACATACTTGTTTTATTAAGAAAGGCACTTCAGAACTCAGTGTAGCTGATGCACTTATCATGCCAACTCCTTCTACCTCTCATACAGCCTGCTCATCATAAATATCCCTTACTTTCAGAAAGCAAGTTGGATACTGACTTGACCCCACTCATGTAAAGATCTATAAGCCTCATACGGTTAATCTTTGAATTATGGTAACTTGACGATTTTTTGGCAAAAATTTGGCGACCAACCCTGCTACAGCAACCTGCTAGTTTTTGTTTGGGGTGCCATTTTGTTTTCACAAAGTAAATGCATTTTTTTTTTTTTTTAACTCAACATTTCCAAAATTTTTTCCAACAATCTGCTAGCTGAATTACGCTTAAGCTAGAACTTTTACGGAACAAAAGTGCTTAATCATGACGAAGATTAGGTGCGAAATTGGGACAAAGTGCAGAATCGCCCACTGCTTGCCGTGTTTTTATGAATTGCACATACACGGTATCATCCATGTACACGTCGACCTATTTTCACTTAAAAAAAAATCCCAGAATTGCACAAAAATGGCATTGCGCACATTCTTGACTATATCTATGTACACTGCTAATGTCCTAGCTAGTAACCTTTATCGCCTTACCAAAATGTTGCCAAACTACCTGTTACCATATTCCAAAGATTAGCCCCTCATCCCACGCTCACATAGCTCAAAGACAACAATAAAAGTTAAAGTTACATATTATAGTCTTATGATATTATTATGTTACTTATTTTATTATTATGTTATGTATTTATATATTATATTCTATTACAAAATTCTTTATTCACTTATAAATTTGTATTTATAATGTACTGCATTTAATATTTAAAATGAATTATTTATTTGTTCCGGTATTTTTAATTATTTATTGAGTAGTATTTATAGCTTTAACCTCAGAAAAGTAGTTAGAAGGCATGGGTACCAAATCCAGTAACAGTTTATAAATTTTTGGTAAAAATTGTCATTTGTAAACAATATATGTTATAAGTACCAGTAAATAAAAATAAACATTATTTTTTATTAACCCTATTCTTACCGAAGAGTTGCAAAAAATATTTATTATGCAAAACAGTATGCCCTTAAAATAGTATGAGGCAACCCCCGATGTTGCTAAAAAGTATTTATGTGACAACATTATACTTTTTGGCAGTATGTATGCAGCACACGTTTTAACCAATGCACAATGCTGACTTTGTGCAATTCTCTGGTGTTTTTTAAGCAAAAATAAATCACTGGGAACAAGGGAAAAGCAAGAACAACCCCCCCCCACAAAAAAAAAACGAGTGGGAACAAGGGAAAAGCAAGAACACCCCCCCACAAAAAAAAAAAAAAAAAAAAAAAACGAGAAAACTGAAAGCTTTCAGATTTTATATTTACACCCAAAGTTTTTTTTTTTTTTTTTTAACATTTTGTGTGTTATCTTTATTTATTAAATATCATGTTCTTCACACTTAAACCATAAAATTAAATTCAAGAGCAATATAACAAAACAATTTAAAAAGAGCATAACTTTAGAATTTCTGATACACAGTTTCACATGCTGGAGATAAACACATACATTAAGTGACATAAATAAACTAGTCAAGCTAAGGTTGACCACTTTGAGGAAGCACTTCCGCAGAGAACCCGGTAAATGTAAACATCGCCAAGTTTGGCGATAATAGTTCAAACCTGGTAACTCAGCGGTTATCCTATTCGCTTGTTCGAAGTTTGCAACCATTCCTCTTGCGTTCATTTTGTTGAATTATCACTGTCGTTGTTCGCATTTGCAGATTTATATTATTCTTCCCTTATTTATTATTATTTTTTCTGAATTCTTTAACAAAGAATAGATAGAAATATTTTCGTAGATAGATGCCGTAGTAGTTCTTGGTTCGGTATGAAAGGAAGAAAATACGGCAGGAGGGGTGAATGCTAATTTGTAACACGGTTGTTTCACGTTGTGTTCCTAATTATTAACAGATGTAAGCATGCAGAACTATGAGGTTTCCAACCCCTAAAATAATTTGTTTTTGTAGGCCGCAAAAATATGCATGTACATTTTAAATAATTAAGTAATGCTTTTATTTTTATTATTGGTTATTGTCATCTAAAATGAGAATAAATAAATTTTCTGGCTTAAATTTTAACAATATATTGTTAATGCTTTTCTAACAGTAACCTTTCAGAGGATGGCTGGTGTGACATAAACAGATGATTAAATTGAAATAAAAAATATTATTGATTATCTAAGATGACAGAATAGTTTGATGCCTCACCATGGTCATCAAAATTAGCAAACCACTGCTGATGTAAGGAATATATTGTTTTCTGTATTAACTGGAATTAAGACAAATTTTTTCCGTTTATCACGTTTAACCGGTTATTTTCAGTACATTAATACTAATTTATATTTTTCAAATGAATTTTTATTTCTGTTATAAATGCTTATATATCGTCTTACACTTAATATATTCTTTTCTGTGCTAACTTGAATTTAATACAAATTTATTTAGTATATCACGTTTGACCAGTTAGTTTTACATCTACATGCTTGTTATCTGTGAATTTTTACTACCATATGCTTAATATATTGTTTTGTCTGCTAACTTGAATTTACATGCACTAAAAATCACGTTTGTGGCTCGGCTCATTGCCGATGAAACGCGACCTTGGCGAGTAAAAATGCAACGGCCAACAGGTTCTTTCCCAAAGCGCCAACGGGTTCTCTGCAGATGAAAACCCCACTTTGAATATGTACTGCTCCCTTTAGGCAGATTTACAAGCTAATAGTGGGTAAAATAATCTCAAGGTAATGGACTTGACATGAAGACAAATTATTTCTATTTATTTGCTAAATTTATATTTAAAAAATTTCAATTGACTTTTTGACATTTTAAATTGTACAAATATATTTACAGTCATCCTTATGCAATGCATTCCTCAAATTAAACTTTAATTTATCTTGAATTTTTTTCTTTTCTTCTGGGACAGCATATGTAAGCAATATTTGAAAATGGGCCACATGCAGACTTAAGTTTGCTTTTAAAAGCAGAAAAGAAGTACTCAATAATATGAATTTCTATCGCCCAAAGACAACTAGTAATTTATAAAAATGTATAAATCTCATGAAAAGGTAGTTACAATGTGCAACTTCAACTTTTAAAACTTCCTTATGAAAGTTTTACATATATTTTTATTTTCATAATAGTATTTTTATTTTGGTATCTATAACATTTTATGAATTGTCTATGAGAAATTCACATTATCAAATACATTTCTTCTGCTTTTAAAAGTAAGCATAAAATCTATGTATATTACATTATAAATACAAGTATAAATATGTATAACTGCATATAATATATACATTACACATAATCATGTGCATGTGTACACATACATAATTACGGATGTGGCAGAATAAAAGAACACATATTTGTTTTCCACATCAAAATCAGATAATTAAATATGTTTCATAAATGTTTTTTTTAAAAACAGAATCTTCTCTTATTCCCTGAGTTATATCAGCTAAATTTTTAAGGAACTAATAAAAAACATCTAGCTATCTTTCCTTACTATTATTTCTATATCTTAACAGTAATATCAGTTTTTATTACAAGAGGTATGAATTAGAATTAATTTCATATACATACCAATTTTAATTACATCATACTCTCGAACTTTAATACAAGTTTCACATATTGCTTTAATCTATACAATGAGTACTATTTTATTAGTAACTTTACTAAAATATATGATTTCTGAGTTCATAAGGTACCACTGTAACATACATTATTTATTTAACACTTAGGTGATTTTGACGATATATTTAATTCAAACCAATCTTATGTCCCAATTAGGCATGAACCTAATTTTTAGAAGGATGGAAGAAATTTTCAGGACTTTTACCTAAGAACTAACAAGATTTTAATAAAAAATTATATATATATATATATTTTCCAAGTAGCATTTAAGAATTTTTAAATATTAATTTGCAGAATAATAGAAAATTAAGTTTTAAAAATAATCGTAATTTAAGTTTAATTTTTTATTTCTTATTAAAATACTTAGAAAAAGTATTGATTTGGCACGTTTTTTTAAATAAAAAATTTGATCAAAAATTAACTTTAAATCGTAAATATATCAGCAAGAAACGCACCTGTGTCAGTCACTCATGTTAAAACGCTTAACATCCGTTAATATTTATCTCCTAATTCATCAAAGTAATATTAAAAAGAAATCAAGATATGATGCCCAAACGTTTTTAACAGATGAACAGACAGAAAATGAAACCAAGTATAAATCAATGTTATACTGATTAAAAAGAAAAATAGTGCATTTTACTAACTATATATACCAAGAAGAAACTGTCTCAGTTTCTCAATTATCACAGAATTTGATGTGTCACAAAAGTTCTTTTTTTAATTTCAGCAAAATTTTCGCTTTATCATACACATAAATACCAGAAACCAGATATGCCGAACACATAGCAGAAGAAAACTCTTGCTATACAACATTTGTTAAATATTCCTTTAAATTGAAAATATTTTTAGATTAGTTCTATAATATTAATATTGTCAATAATTTTTTGATTATTAAATTAAGAAGAATAATTATATTATACATACATTTTTTGATAAAATGCCTTTCCGCTCGTCCATCATAACAGCGACCAAATTTAATTTTTTACTCTTCGGAATGGCAATTTAGGTTGTTTGTTTTGGTCTCTATTTTAATACTACAGAAATAGTTTTAAGATCTATTAATAATATATCTGTGCACATGTAGAAATTAAACAAGAAAACGTTTGTATGCAATTATATAATTAACTGAATTCTTGATACAATCCGGTTTTTTTCGTTTGTTGAATTTTTATATTTTCTGAAAAAATATTTTTGTATCTTAACAGAAATATTAGAAGTCGTTTCAATAATAAATGTAATACTTTGAGATAGCGTATACTTTTATGTATATGTAATAATAATTAGGCTTCTGTCGTGCATTAAATTTTATTTGACAAGTTAAATTACTAGATGGGTTCTTACCTTGGTAAATCGGTCGAAGAGAACTTCAAAAGAAATCAAGAATTTATGATGCAGCTACCGAGATTGCAGGTATGTTACTAAAATAAAAAAAAAAAAAAAAAAATAAAATAAAATAAATAAAATAAAATAAAAAAAAAATAAAAAAAATGAAGTTTAACATGAATTTCGTACACGCAAATTTTCTTCCATCATTTGATGTAATAATTCTCATAAGACCAAATTAACGGGAACACGTATAAAGCATAAAATGTTTAATATTATTCACTGTTTTATAGATTTTAATGTATATAAATCTTATTATATACTTATATGAGATTAAATGCTCAGAAATTATTTACCACTATGCCCTAAGAGAGAAAAAAAAAGGTGTGGTGTTTAATTAATAAAATTATGTGTTTTGTGTGTCTGAAATGTATTTTTAATTTTTACAACAGTAAAAAAAAGACAGTGTAATACTATGTTTTCTTCAGTTGCTTGTGTAATAAATTCTCGTAAAAAAGCAAAAAACTCGTAAAAAAAATTAAATATTGATATGCATTGTATTTTATCATAAACTGTTATAATCTTTTATTTGTAATGATATCTTATGCCAAAATTATATCTTGGAAGAAGAAGGAGGAGGGGAAATTATTTCTATATATGATTAGAAGAAAAATATTAGCCACTAAAAAGCATAATTGTGGGCTTTTTTTGAAATAGGTTGCATGTTGTATTTTTGTATTATAATATTTATAAAAAAAACATTTAATGTTAAAATTATTCATTTCATTTGTCATAAGTCAATTGTAAGAAGTGTAACTTATGTTATACTTTAGATGGGCAAGTAGATAAAAAGCAAAACAATAAATGAACTTTATAGTACAACAGTTCAAATTGTTAACTAACAGAATGTTTACCTGTAGATTAGCTTTGATTTTAAAGAGCTGGGTTTAAAATATGTAGGTGTGATTGTGATACAAATATAGCCAGAATTTCATATTTTTTACTTTCTCAGATCCGAAAATTCTGAATTTCAGAAATTGCATTCTTCATTATGTACACTGTGCATAAAAAAAAGGGGACAGTTCTGTAATCTCTCGTTCCACTGGGCCGATTGCTGAAATTTAATTTACATTTCCCATATCTTGAAAATGCGATTTAAGACATATATTAGATTTATATATATCATTTTTCTAACATAGATATTTTTACACAAAATCTGACTTTCTCTGAAATACCATTTAGACAATTTTTATCCATATTTTCAATTCTATGACTCAAGTTATGCAAAAATGCCAAGTTTTGTAAAAATTGCACTAGTAGTTTTTAAAGTTATTGTTAGTTGAGCGGCTCATTGAACTTTCAGTTGTTAGCAAAGAAAAGTGTACATGCTGCAGTTTTGAATCTTGTCCCTCAGAATTGGCTAACTAAATATGGTAATTATTTTTACAAAGTGTCGAGAAATCATAATGGTAAGTAACTTTATAAAAGGATGTCGTGGAACATGAAGGAACATTTAAGAATTTATTTATTTATGCATGTATTTGTGTGAATCACATTAATATTCTGAATTATTTGAAATTATGTCAGGTTTTTTACTTCAAGGTAGTTTTCAAAAATTTTGAAATGAGGTCGCAATCACCCTTAAATATGGTTTGATCCAAGTTTGTCATCAAGGAACAGTACTGGAAGGATGACTTATATCAGTATTAATTTCTCATGATACCTAGAGCTTTTCTGAAATCATTACCAATCTCATGCTGAATTTTGCTAATGTTAACGTATATTTTGTTTTTGCAGATCTTAAGTCTGTCATTTTTGCAGTTTGTTTAAAGGATTGTGTGGAACATGTTATTAAATTTTAGAATTGTATAGGATTTTTCTCAGATAGATATGAGAAGATCTTGTTTAAGTTTGTTTGTAACCTGGTCATTAAAAGTGTAAAGTTTTATAAATACAGTAGAACTCCAATTATCCGAATCAACTGGGACTGGACCCCATTTGGATAAACAAAAATTCAGATAATTAATTTTTTTCTGAAGAAAGGGTCTACGTACACTGTAGTTAATTACTGTATGTTGAAAATAGGAGAAAAAAATCTTTTTACAGAAAAAGAGGATTTAATTAATTAAAGCAAAAAGGCAGCACTTTTACTTCATCCGTTTTCAGGCAGCCAAGTCGCCCATCCACTTGACAATGAGAAGTTGCATGTGGTCACACTCAGGCTGATGCTCCATCCACTTGAAAGCAGTTTCAAAACCAGTCCCGTGTCTGCTTCACTTTCAACATTAAGGTCATTTTCTTCCTGGATACATTCTTCTCTCACACTTTCAATAAGTTCATCATCATTTAGAATTTGAAACCCAGAACCTGCTGAATCACACACCATCCATTCTGCTGTATCCTCAGCACCAACTTCTGAATATTCAGGAATTTTCAAAAGAATGCTTCTTAATTCCTCAAGTGACACGTCATCATCATCTTCTCCTGTCTCTTCCCTTTCTTTTTCTTCAGCTTCTTTTTCCTTCTTTTCTTCAGCGATTCTGAAATATTCTGAAAGCGGTTCTGATAATCACTGATTTGGATAGTTGGAGTTCAGATAATTGAAGCTGTACTGTACTGAAATTAATTTTTAAAAGTATAACAGCTTTGTTAATTATGAAAGAATGTATAATAATACTTCTTAATTATTTTCTCTGTGATATAACGTAAATAAACATGTTATAATTATATCTTTAAAGAAGGGTTGTATAACCATACAAGCAATGAGTTCTAATATGTAGTTATAGTTCTATGATTTTAACACAACCTCGGCTGGCATTCTGCCAAAACACATAGAATCATCCAAAAGGGGTCTTAGTTATGTGTTATGAGGTGATAGGTCATGTAAAAGTTCTCTCTTCGCAGGAGAATGAATTTATATGAGTTAGTGAAGGAAAGTTATCCAATGATGCTGTCATCAATTGTCTTTCATGCCTTCTTTTTTTTTTAATATTTACAGAAATAAATGCTAAGATACGCATTGGTTTGCATCCTGGAAACCAAGAATGTTGAATTTTTTTTTATAACTTATGATTTTGATATGAACAGTCCATATTTAATCACGTATTTTTGAAGATAAGATCACTAAAAAATCATCGAACTATATTCTTTAATGGAAGTATTCTTTTTGCAGTAAATAAAGGAAACTGGTCAATAGGTTTCTAGCATATCATTTTAGATTACTTAAAAGTAATTTTCTCTTATGTCTGTGCTCTCTGAATGCCATTAAAGTAAACAGGGAAAAAAAAAAAAAAAAAAAAAAAAGTCACTATGACATGATTCCATCTATCCTATTTTCATCTACCCTATTTAGAGAATAAATTGGTCCAAATGGCACATGCATGTTTGCACTCATGGTCATAGCTAAGGTGGTCGAACTATAGTAACATGTGTAGCTTATAATGATAAAAAAATCATTATTAATGAAAATCAAAAGTTAATCCTGTATCAAAGTCAATTATTACCATATTTTAAAATTTCTTAATTATTTCTTCATGAAATTATATTCTCATGCCAAACAGCACATTTTTTCCTCTGCAAATTATGTGAAAATATGACATTTTTATGTTATTAGGACTGGATTCAGAAATATATGTGTGCATGCATGTGTGTATACACATATGAATACATACATGTGTATATACATACACATGCATGTATGTGTGTATATACATACACATGCATGTATACATGCACATACATTTCTGAATTTAATCTGGATAATAGTAAAGTACCAAAAACACTTTTGGGATCTTAAGACCTTATGAAACTTAGTAGATTTCTGAGAATCCTGTACAACGAGCAGTCATTCATCTCGCTTTACACAATGTTGGGTTACTTGTCATCATTCAGTAAGATGACTTAGATGTTAAAGTCAATATTTCTTTATTAAAGCACTGCTATTTTTTGTCTCCAGAATTGACAAACTTAATTGCAATCAAATCATTTGCATGTTACAAACATGCAAATAATTTGAGTATCAGATTCAGTCACAAAGCCCTATTCCATACAATTAAGAAGTATCTTATGTTTTTGTGATCTATTCTTTCAGTTTGAAATATTAGAGCTACATGCAGCTCAATTATTAGGTATAAACTTTTATGAACTTGAAGTGAAAATATTTCTTCTAATGTTGTATTCTTCCAACAATTGTGAAGTGCGATAGTGTCTTTAGAACAGTTAGAGAATTGCAGTCATGAAGATCAATTTTACAATCCTAAAATATGTCTTAAAAAGTAGCACAAATGAGTTTTTTAGACTGCTGTGTCAGAACATATAATCGACTTCTGTAAATATATATTTTGTGTGCTAAAAATATTATTTTTATGTTATATTTAACCTTCTGAGTGGCAAAGCTTCTTGGATCTGCTCGTAAAGATCGATATTTAAACAGCATTTATTGGCTAAATTTTTATAATTGCTTATTTAGTCTCTGTTTTTCTAAACTTCCATTCATGAAGATGATATTTACATCATTAAAGAAAGTAAGAAAGCAAAATACTTTAAAATATAACCTTATATATACCAAGAGAAAAAAAAAATTGGTACTTTTCCGTTTCGCAGGCGAAAATCTTGCCAAGCAGACCTTATTGGTGACAACATACAGTATACAAATAACAAATGTTAGTTCTAAGAATTTTTTATTTTGAAAACATAAACATTTTAATATCGTTTAAAATTATTGTAAAAAAGCCAATAAATAAAGACAATAAATTTGTAAAAAAGATTAATTTAAGAATATACTATGCTTTCATGGTTCAACATCCTGATTCGCCTTTTCATAACACATGACCCCAAGTCTCACGTAAACTACAAAAATCTCTTTCAGTAATTATCTACATTAATTTCAGTTGAATCTTAATTTGGAATACAAGTTTAAATGCAAGAATTATTTCAATTCGTACAAGTAGCTTACTCAGAAATTATGTAATTCTGCAGTGCTTTATTTTGCTAGTGCAGTTTAATTAGAATTGATGAATTTAACTCTTGATTTTGCATTTTTCTATATTTTTGCCTTCGGGTGAGCAGTGTGATTGCATTCTAATTGACCTAATTACCACGAATGGCCTTAGGGTATAAAATTGAACTATCTGGTAAAAATTCTGTGTAATTGTATGCCAGTATTGAAAGAAACAAACAATCTGATAAGAAATGGCTGCGAATTGGTTTGAAAATGAGGTTTAAAAGGTTACCAGCTAGGATATTCCGTTTGGCATCAGTTGTACCATTATTGGCGACTTTATTGGTTGCGCCGGCAAAACAGAAAAGTACCAAAAAATCTTATAAGCAGATTGAAGAGGATCATGCTACTCAGACGTTTAAAATATATTTAACACATATTTTGTTATATTTAAAGCATAGTGCTTTAAAATATTCGCTAAAATTTGGCTTTGAACATACAATCATTTTAGAAAGGTTGTAATGTTACTGATTTTAATTAAAGCCTAGTTAATTATTAGTGAAGGTTTATGTTACTGATGAATGTTTAATTTATTAATGAAAATTTTTTTGTTTTATCAGTTAAATTTAGTTAAGTTCTATAATTTATTTGTTAGTTAAGTGTAGTTAATAAGTAAAAAAGTGATTAATATTGATCAAAATACGTATTGCATATTTTTGATGATGAACATACTGATTTAAGTCATTCTCCCATAGTGGGTTTTGATTTAAATTCAAGATTTCAGAGAACAAATTTAGAAAGCAGCTACAAAAAATATACTGTTCCTTTTGGTGATTAATAGTTCCATCTCATGTAAAACATGTTTTTCTTTTTTATTTAAGTTCCTATAGTGGTTTCTGACTTGTAGCTCCATTTCAGAAAGATGTCAAATAGCTTGTTTTTTTTTTACCTTTCTAAGACAGGAATTAATTGCAGTTTTGAAATTTTCTATTGTTTAAAACAAAAATCTTCATAGCTGCTACTGCTTCCTGTATTTTTATATGCGTGTTAAATTTTATTCGGGACTAATAAAGCATTGTGTTTGGATAACTGGAAGTTTTATTATACATAAAAGGTTTTTTTTTTTCTCTTTTAATGAAATCTTCCTAACCCACAATGATGACTGATTGTAGAAAGTTTTACATCTTAGCTTGGTTTAAAAAACTTGAAAATGTGTGGGATCAGTATTTAAGGAAATAAAATCTGTAGGCATCTTTCAGGAACACTGTGTGTATTTATTTAATTTTTCAAGTATCTATTGTTATTGACTGTTAATTTTTCCAGTTCAAAATCTAATTAACTATGCTTAATTTCTTAATGAATGTTAACTGTAAAAAGGTTGAGAGAATAATGTTATATGATTGTTGCTAAATTTAATTTAGAATTTTTATAATACAAGTCAAATATCTATGTACATGCAAATATTTATTAAAAGACAATTTTTTTACAACTAATTAATAAAAGTAACACCTGTCGATAATCAGTTTGATGAATCCTTCTCAGAATTTTTAAAATTCCTTTACCAGTTACAAGTATATGATGTATCTTATTAATTAATGTATTAATGGATTTAGTTTACTACATTTATGTATTATGTATGTAAAAATTAAAATCAGATTTTCTTTATATCTTAATATTAGAATCTGATTCTTTCTCCTATTCATCTTTATGATTGACTTGAAAATATTAATTTTTTTAATTGTCATCTAAATAATTCTTTCATAAAACAATATTTGTGTGTGAAAATATATGAAATATTTGATTTAAAATGGTTTTGGACATCCATTTATGAAAACTGTCTGCATTTTCACATAATTTTATCCTCTTAATTTTAAATAAAGTGATTGCTTTGAAATTTTATACTGTAGCATTCTTTAAGGGATTAGATTTTTATAGTAATATATTTGCAACAATTTTGTATTGTTATTTGGGGGGGGGGCAAAGTAGTTTCCTATTTTATAAATCTTGTTTACTTTTTTATTACAGTTGGAAAGACAGATACATATGAGAAACCAAATTCGAGAAAGGAAATTGGCTCTACAAATAGCAAAATACAGAGAGTCCTTCTACTGGTTTGGTGCATTTTATGTCTTGGCTTCAGGCTCAATGATTTTTGCGTATGAATTTGATCAATATGATCTTTCTTAATATCTTTGTTTTCATTTTTTACATTATATTTAAGTCTTTGTAATAATACTATTAGAGATGGGCAAAATTGCTCCTTTAAGGGATCAGATCAGAATCATTCACTCACTGAAGTGAATCAGTTCTTTTTAACGATACACCGCTCAATAACAATTGTACAACAATAAAATTTTGGAATAAAAAGTATGTTAAAAGTTAAAAAATAATGAAAACTAAACTCTCTTTCATTTAAGATTATTTCTTTTATTGCAGTACAAAGTCTATAATCCGGACGTCCATAATCCGGACCTCAAAGCTACAAACTATCTGCACATGCATCAACGCATAATGCATTCACGCATGCGCGTTTAATGTATAACGGACGGTATAAGCTAGGCTAAAATTATCTAATTATCTATTTCAGTTAATGTTGCAGATTGCGTTGTTTCCTTAATCTTCTAATTGGATCCGGCTTATTATTTTTTGTAGACTGTTAGAGCAATTTTATACAAAGTAAACTTGAACTTTCGATTATGTCAAAAAAGAGTTTCCAATTCTGGAGCTGCCAAAGGATCTACAAAGCGAAAGTATGTTTCGATGTACTGCTTCCGATAGTGAAGAAAGTGACAGAGAGGTTATTGAAAACGAAAAAATTTCAATTGACAAGTTAGTCTGTATTCTCGACACAGCAATTACAGGATTTGAACAGTGGAACTTTATAACTGAACAAGAAATAATTATGTCTGTTTATAGAAGAGAGAATTAAAGAGAAAGTATTAGCACAAAAAACGAAGCAACTTAAACAACTTACATTGAAAGAAATGTTTAATAAAGTAAACAAATAATATTAAGCTTTTTTTTTTTTTTTTGTTTTTTTTTTTTTTTTTTTTTTTTTTTTTTTTTTTTTTTTTTTTTGCAAATTTTGGATACCCTTTAGATCATAATTGCTCTTTATTTCATAAATTACGGTTTCATATTTTTAATTTTATAATTTCTGCATGCCATCTTACCAGATTTAAATTAATGATCTATAAGCCGGAAAATCCCCTAATCTGGAGCCGCCGAAGTCTCGATGAGTCCAGATTAAAGACTTTGTACTGTACTGTAATTGATATTTTGTTGTTACTACAAAGTACAGTGTAAAAATTAATTTTTAGATTGGAGCCAGATTCTGACGAACAGGAAATTGTCTTCTGACAATACTGGCATTTTCCTTTTTTAATCTAATTTGACGAAATGATACCAAATATCGCTCGAGGTTCTTCTATTCGTCAGGATCCAGAGAAATTTACAGCTATTGATTTCAAGACTTTATTAAAATAAATAAATAAAAATATAATTTATTATTTTACATAAATGTTACAGTAATATTGTGTAAAAAAGCTAATACCTGATATACATAGCTATACTATGACATAATATTCAAAGAATCAAAATGGAACTCGAAGGAACAGCTCTGAGGAAATTAAAAGAGCAAGTAATCAAGACTCCACAGGAGCTACAGGGGGGTGTTCACACATTTTTGTAATGGTTTTGCAAAGATTTATATATAAGATTAGAATTTTATTTTCTAATATGTTCAGTTTGATAGCCCTTTTGTTGAACTGTCATATTACATCTCGATTTCCAAGATAAAAATCCTTTTCTTAAAACATCAAGGCTCATTTTATCCCACTGCTCCTTCACAGTACATTTAAAGAAAATAAATTCAATTCCAGCTTCATTTCTCGTTTTTTTTTTTTTTTTTTTTTTTTTTTTTTTTTTTTTTGTTTTTTTTTTTTTTTTTTTTTTTTTTTTTTTTTTTTTTTTTGTTTTTTTTTTTTTTGTTTTTTTTTTTTTTTTTTTTTTTTTTTTTTTTTTTTTTAATAGAGCAGCAGATTTAAAGATTTGGCTAGGAGCCTTATCCTGATGGAACTTAACACAGTGATGATTGTTTGGATAAAGAGAGGGAATTTCTTCTTTAAAAATAGGTGTTAAAACATATTTCTGATAGTAACCCAAATTAATTTTGACTTTTTTTTCTATTTTCCTTATTTCAAGTTTTCCATTGTAAGAGAACCAGTAATAACCATAAAACTTTAAGAAAAACTTTGTTTTCTCTGAACCAATAATATAAGTCTTTTCCTCCTCTTTTTTGGTAGTAAATTAATCTTTTTCTATTGCAGCCAGATAAGTATATCGAAGCCTCGTGAACTGTAACTGTGTATTTCCATTTTTCACCTGCCAAATAATTTTCATACAGCAATCTGTGCATAGTCTTATGCTGATAAACATGTTTTGGCGTTAAGCGATGAACATCATGTTTTGTTTTGATTAGCTTTAAATCAGATTTTATAATTTTGTTCACAGTTCCTACAGAGATATTGAAAGATTTTGCTATAGCTCTTTGGGGGGCTAGATTTTCCTCTAAAATGTGAGATGTGACTTTAATGAGACCTGTATATACCTTTGCTGGGTATACATCTTTTGCCTTATTCCCAGTCAGATGTAAACTTTGACATTTCTTTCCTTTCATATTAATTACATCATTTATTTTATGTGTAGAAATAGTAAAATGATGCTTTTGACATCTTTTTTTAATAACTGAATAAGAGTGTTTCTCTTTGGACAGCACAGAAATATTGCTTTCGATCCGTTTTGTTTATTTTACAGCAACATTTTAAAGAAATGAATATTTTTAATGACGATAACTAAACCTTATTCCAATTGGATGCCAGTCACATTTATATTTTAATATTAATATTTAAATTCATGGAGGAAATTAAAATCGTTACAAAAATGTCTGAACACCTCTGTAGATTTGAAAGAGCGATATGAAGACTTATTGAAACCAGATCCAATCACAACTCCAAATAGTGTCAGAATACAGGAGCACCGAGAGCTGGGAATCCAAAGAACTAGCTAGATTTGAAAGAGCGAATAATGGAGACTCGTTTAAACCAGATCCAATCATGACTCCAAATAGTTTTTGAGCACTGAGAGCTGGGAATTCGAGGAACTAGTTTCCTGTAATCTATGTACTTTAAACAGAGCCTCACACTGCCAGATTGGGGGGGGGACTCCACCCATTTGCAAACAGGGGTAATCAGTTTCACGGACATGTGTTGGTTTATTTAATGTTTTGTTTTTTAAATACTAGATGTAACACAAGTAAGCCAAAAGCACACATATATACATACATAATTCACATACACACATAAAAAATAGGTCAGAGATGTTTCCAGTAAATAATAAAGGAAAGACTGCTGGCGTTTATGTTAAAAGGAATAAAATTTTGGCATGCTTTCTGGCAGTTCTTTCAATTCATCGAGAACAGTTCTCGATGAATTGAAAGAACTGCTGTTCAGTTTTTTCCGGAATACTGATTACTCGTTCAGTGAAGGGAATCGATCTTTGAGTCAATTCCAGAGCCAGATTGTCTATCTTTAATTACAATACCTGTATTTTTGCCATATCCATAGTTCTCTGCAAATAATACATATATTTAAGTTTATCATCTATGAAATTTTAGGTTTGAAAAATTTAAAGAGGAGCATATTTCATAATATTCAGAATATGGCATAAAAATCCCCTCACTTTTTAAAAGTATTTTTTATTCTGCATTTGCCGTTTTAAAAAAGGTCTGTTTGACCCTTCCCTTTTTTAACAGCAAGAAGGGCACTTAGCCCTTCTTGCTATAAAATGCTTATAAAATTCTTTTCTTGCTTATAAATATTTCTTTTTTTAATAACTGAATAAGAGTGTTTTTCTTCTTGCTTATAAAATTCATAACATAACAGCAAGAAGGGCACTTAGCCCTTCTTGCTGTTATGTTATGAATTTTATATAGAAGTATCTGTCGTATTTTCATACTCAAATCATTTAATGGCCTTAGGAAGCATTATTTCTGTTTAACAGTAGCTAATTTTTTTTTAATTTAACAATGCCAACTTCTTCGTATTCATGTGTGCAATATTCCACTGTCACTATATTTTAGATAAATGAATCATCATTTAATTCCACAAGGCATTAATCATCTTTGTTCCTAGCAATATTGTATTTTTTAAAAAAAGTACTTTGCCTTCAATTTTTAGTGTGGTGGCAGAACAATTATATGTAAGGTTAAGGCCTCTTTTGGAATATGATATCTTTGGGTGGTCTTTTATTATTATTATTATTATTATTATTATTACTTTTTTTTTCTTTTTTTGTTTTTTGGTAGATGCATTTTGCCGGTTTGACTGAATAAGTAAGTTAATAGGAAATGAGGGTTAAAAGATTAATTAGAACTCTTAGTTGTAATCAAGTTCCTACTGTACTATTCAGATTAAAGTGGAAATCTCTGTTGGACATATATTGGTGCTCTTCTGTTATTGGGACCGGATTCAGAAATGTATGTATGTATTACACATGTGTATCCTTGTAACAGTCCTTGTAACAGAAGAGTACCCATTCATTTAATGCTTCTGCGTTATACACAGGGCTGTGGAGTCATGGAGTCGGAATCGGAGTTGGGCAGATTTGGAGGTATAAGAAGTCAGAGCTGGAGTTGCTAAAAACAGGTCGACTCCGACTCCAGTTTTTGTTGGACAGTTTTAATTTGAAATAAAATTAAAGTGAATTAAAAAGAAACATTAATGACAAACTGAGTTATTATTTTTATTTACATTAATAAATAGTTATTTTCTATTCTATTGGCATATTAATAAAAAATATAAGGAAGATGGATGTGATATATTTTCCATTAGTGATTAAACTGATTCGTTTAGTTACTTCATTTAGTTACAAATCTCGCTGGCAAATTTAGGTAAGCAGCAATAGCAGCAAGAACTTCCAAAACTGATGCCATTCTTAGGAAGTGAGCAGGAAAATAGCAATTATTGATCAAGCAACGCAATGAGGAAGTACATATTTGATGATATAGAGGCTGTTAGAATTAAAAAACGTTTTTAGAAGATGTAGATAATCCTAATATTTCACTAACAGAAAGACTGTGGAATGATCTTTCCAGAAATGGAAACTTTTTTTTCTATACCGTATATAGCCACAACAAAAGCTACAATCTGAAGAATTAACAGGAGGCAAAAATGGAAGAATGTGATGCTTGTTCTTTCTGAAATGGAGGGTTTTTTGCAGAAGGAATCATTTCTTCAATGAAAATAAGAAAAACTAGTTTGCTAGAGAATGAGATCTTGCTGGGTTCAATATATGTAGATCCAAAACACCGAATTTTGTTGCATGACGAACAAATTAAGAAGGCAAGGAAAGCCATCTGTGAATTTTCAATAAGAATGAAATTATTTTCAGAACAATTGGAATCAGAACAGTCAAACTGCAGACATTGCAACTGAGTGTCTATCATCCTCTTTCAGTGATGAATTAGATTTTGAGAAATATTTTTGGATATTATTGAAAAAGCTAAGGCAAAGTGAATGAAAATAAAGAAACAAAAGCCTTTAGATATAAAAATGGAAAAATACAAACAAGATTTCTACACAGCTTTTGAACAAATAGAGAAATATGATTGCTTTTACAAGACACCGATTTTAGAACTTATAAAAATCTATCCTGAAACATTAAAAGAAGCAAGCCCTAACAGTAACAGTTCTTCCTCCTACTCAAGTCAGTGTAGAAAGACTCTTCTCATTTCTGAAGTTTATCAAATCAGATCTATGGTCCTCCAACAATGAAGATCTTGCCGTAGCTATACTATTACTTCTTTTATATTAAAAAAATAAGCTGTAACCCATGTGTATATGTTTACACACATATATACACTGGTGTGCAAAAATTAAGGACGAGACGGTTTTTTCAATATAACTTTGTACAAAAGCTTTCCAAATCAACACATTTAATACCGTAAGATCACCAATACGAAAGGACATGAGTAATGTAAGCAACACTTACTAAAAGAGAAATCAGAGGGACAAAAAGAAGCTTTATTGAAAAAGTAGCATGGAGCGCAATGCGACTGAAGGCCGAAACATCCCTGTGATGGGTGTCCAGCAAGAAACATCCGGTCTTTAATAGGGGATATAATCTTCCCTGACTGCTAGGCAGGTTTCACAGTGTCTGCCCATGCTGAGAATGAGGGTGTCAATGAGTTGTTGAGGCATTGCTGCCCATTCGTCTTGCAGCGCCAATCGAAGCTCCGGAATCGTTATTGGTGGTAATGTCGAGCTGCCAAGCGTCTGCCTAGAAAATCCCATACATGCTCGATGGGATTGAGATCTGGAGATCGTGCCGGCCAATCCATACGTTCAATATCCTCACTCTCTAAGAGCTGTTCGGCAGCTACTGTGCGATGCATTGTCGTCCATGAAAAGGAACTGCGGACCCATAGCGCCTCTAAAAAGACGCACATATGGAAGAAGAATCTCGTTACAATAACGGGTCCCGTTGACTGAACCTGCGTCGAAGATGTGAAGGTCTGTACGACTACCAAGCATGATGCCTCCCCAAACGAGAACATCGCCACCTCGCATACCTGTCCATTGTCCCTTTCAATGATGTTCGAGGGATGATTGCGGCTTCCCCGCTCTCTCCCCCAGATGAGTATGCGATGAGAATCGCTACTCAGACTGAATCTGCTCTCATCTGTAAAGAGTACTCGTCCCCATTCATTGTCTCTCCAATTCCGGTGTTCCCGGCACCACAGAGAATCGCCTTCTCCGATGGGCAGGCATTAGAGGTACACACCATACAGGGCATCGTGCAAACAGACCACCACCGTGCAGTCTTCTGGCCAAGGTAAAACGCGATATCGGTCGTCCAGTCGCCTGTGTCGTGTGTCTAGCGATTTCTCCCGCTGTCTGCCGCCTGTTTCTTCTGGCCTGTAAGGCAATATACCGGTCATCTGCGGGTGTGGTTCCTCGTGGACGACCACTACTAAACCTCCGGATAGCTGTTCCTGTAGTTTGAAATTGTCTCCAAAGTCGTGAAAGGATGTTGTGGGCAATTCCGAACTCTGCAGCCACACTTGTCACACTGCGGCCTTCCTCCAACTTCCCAATGATTCGACCTCGGGTAAAAGCATCCAGATGTCGTGTAACAGATTGATTATTCGCCATTTCTCGCTGAGGCAGCAACTCGGTGTGATTTTAACTGCTATACGGCTTGCAATCTCTTTGCCAGAAATACTGATCTTACGCCGACAACATGCTTTATACTACTCAGACACTACCCCATTACGTCTACCTGCATATCTGCGCATGTGCTACCGTACATCACCTTACTTAATCTCCTGATTGGTCTTTCTGTCCGCTCTGCCTCTTCGTTCAGCTGATATGCTAATTTTTCGACTTTGTCCTTAATTTTTGCACACCAGTGTATATATATATGAGGGAGTCAGAGTTGGTCATTTTCTCTACTGACACCCCAGCCCTGGTTATACATATCATTAATGTAAACATTTCTGTTTATATATAGGATAAAAAAATTTTCAAAATGTTTGTAAGATGGAATTAATTTGTATGATTTCTGGACTTAAATGATGAATTTATTAAATTTAAAAAGTACTATGTAATTATGTTCTGAGTAATAAACACTTCGTCCATAAGAGTCCTTACCTAGTCTTTATTTTTGTAACTGTTGTAGACATATATTTCCAGTCATAAAAATGTTTTACGTGATGCAGAGGTTCATTTTATGGCATTTTTAAAATAAGAAATCAATTTCATAAAAGTTATGAAATCTGACTTTTTAACATGCTCCACTGGTCCCTATACTCAGGACCAGATTTAGATTTGACTAGACTCTAAGCTGTTTGAGCTGTGGAGCCCTTTTTGAGGAATATGAGTCAGTTTTTCTTTTATATGGGATATGGGACAGTTTTTGGGGGGTGGCCACAAGAAAATGGGGGCCCTAAGCTATAGCTTCTGCAGCTTATACGTAAATCGAGCACTGCCTATACTACTTATATTTTGGAACTTTTGTGCTTATTATAAAAAATAAAATGGAGATTATGTGACTCCCATATGACAGAAGATTGAGCAAGATATTTCATATAAAATTTTGCGATTATATGGTGTCATTTTGAATTTGCATTGAGGTGTCAATTAATAAATAAATTAGAATAATTTAAGAATGTTGTTCTTTAAATGTCATTCTTTTGTGATTTTCTAGTGTCTTTAATGTATAATTTTGTTAAAATTGATATACCAAAAGAATTTACGCATGTGTGTACAGACCTGGAGTACGATTGCCAAATTTAATATCAAACATCTCGGTTAGTTTTTCCCATACTGAAGTCAAACTTTTTGCATTGCTTATTATTATTATTGAGACCCAGTGGCGCAGTGGCTAGCGCATCGTGCAGTAGCACCACAGTTCCAGGGTTCGATTCCCAGGCTGGGCAAAGTTGGCTCAGCCTTTCATCCTTTGATTTCCATCACTTGGGTTGATAAATTGAGTATCAAGTTCGCTTGGGGACTAAACACTGGGTGGTCCTGTGACAATCTGACCACTTGCTCAGGGCATATGTTTACACACCCCGGGGCCCACGGTCAAGAAAGCAGATTTTCGGGCACTGCAGGGCTTAGCCCATTAGGGCTGTTACGCCACTGAGTTTAGTTTAGTTTATTATTATTAACAAGTACAAAATTTTTTAAATATAAGTATGGGAACTGGAGAACTATATAAAGGAACTTACGAATTAGTGCAACCACCTTGGCACAGTTTGAAAAAAAGTTGATTCGGTAAATTTTCAGATTGCAGCTTACAGTGGGTATGGTTACCTAAAAAACTGTTATGTGTATGGTTGCCAAAGTATGACCACTTCTGCTAAGGTGGTTGTGATAATACATAAGTAATACCAATGTAAAAAGTTAGATTTCAGAATCTTTAGAAAATTAATTTAACCCATTCAGTGCCGCTCCAGAGTTAACTCGGGCTTACCGAGTTAAAACACGACACTGAACAGATTAAATGAAAAAGGTCTCAAGACTGAAATAATCAGAAATGGGGTTACTTTGCATCATTTGAAATACTTTTGTAATTAGATGTTTGTGTCTACAACAGACAGTTGCAAAAATAAAGGGCAGGAAGAGATTTTCATGGAAATGGTGTATAATGAACTTCAAAATTCTTTAGTAATCAAAAATTCATTAATTATTCTAAATCAACATCAAATTGAATTTTTTATAGTTCTAGATTTTAATATGAGTAAGGGTGAATAGGTGAATATCATTACATTCTAATAATAATAATTAAGAATAAGATCTGAATTATAATGAACATCAGTGAATTTTATATATGTAATTGCATTTTTTTAAGCTGCTTTACAAAGCTTTGCTTACTCATGAAGGACATTTTATAGTTACACTTTTAAAAAATAAATAGATGAATCATTTTGTCAGTATTCTTTATCACATTCGTTTTTCACTAATTGATTTAATTAAAAGTATTAGTTTTTCATCCATTAAAATATGTTATTACTTAATTATTATTTTAATAGTTTTCACTGAAATGTGGAAAAAGAAAATGTTTTTTAGAAAACTCACATTCTTCTCTGAAAATTTAGATTCCAAAGAACTAAAAAACCTATCATGCTGTCTGCACTGCTGCCTTTAACTTTTATTGTTTTATATCAAGGAGATCTTGCATATGGAAATAAACTGCAAAGGATAACTAGTAAGTTTACACAATTTTGAACAAAAAATTAACAGTGCACTTATTCTTTTAGGAAAAAAAAAAAAAAAAAAAAATTTATACTGTGTATTATTATAATGATTGTAAAATTAACAGTGCACTTATTCTTTTAGAAAAAATATTTTTATACTGTGTATTATTATAATGATTCTATTAATTATGTAAAATAAAATGCAAAATATTTTTAAAATCTTTTATGGATAGTTGATCCATATCTAACATAATTATAAGCAAGTTGTATATATGCAGTCAAAAATTTGTATCCTGTAGAATAATGGATATATATTTGTGTTTTCTAGTAAAATGTTTATATTTGAATAACATATGTCACTGTTTATCAACTGCAGCAGAATTAATATATTTTTCCATTTCTTGACCTTCAAAAAAAGGGGGGGGGATTTTTTTTTATTAAAAACGAGAACAGATGTTTTTAAGATGAAAATGGAAGCTTACTTATATATGGTTATTATGGAAGTTTTTCACCAAAAATATGTTCTTAACAAAGTTAGGGAAAAAACTTGAAAGCAGGAACTTTAGTGCGATTAGTAATCACCACCCAAATCTATAATTTTCTGCCAACATTGTGGAGCAGCTGTCATATACGGACCGGGTTGGCAAACAATTTCTCACTAAACTCCATAATTTTACTTATCTAAATTTTTTTGTTCACATTTCAAACTTAAAGCCTAAAATATCTGAAAAAAGGCCGTTTTTGCACATGATTTATGCTAAAAGCCCGAAATAAAAACAAAAAATGCTTGTTGATGCTTGAAGTTTCTCGCCAGAAATGTTTGACGAAAAATTTAAACTAAAATAACAACAATAAATTCCAAACAATTTCAACGTAAATAAATTTAAAAATTAAAAAAAAAAAAGAACAGTAAAAGTTTACAATTGGGCGATCCTTGTTTTTTTTTCACGACTCTTTTTTGACACCCAAATTGGCACCAAGAAAGCACAATTTCAAGACGGCCATTACATAAAATCAAAATAAGATGTCAAAGAATTGCACAAAACTCGGTGTCCATGTACACATCAATCTATTTTCACTTAGGAAAAAAAAATCTAGAGAATGATGATGTTATGTAAGGTTAAAACAAAGTTACTCATTGCCAAAATTGAACAAAATTTGTCCTCAATCAAATGAGCACTCAATTCTACACTAGAGACAAAATAAAAACACAAAACTAAAGCAATGGAACAATTAAAATAATTCTCTACAAAATTAAAACAATACCCAAAAAAGCAAAATATTAATTTCAAACAAACAACTGCAGGAACTTACTGCAGTAAAACAAGAATCCAAACCTCAAACTTTGTTGAGAACCACAATCCTTACCTTCAACAATTTTTCTTCAAATCCACACAAATCCATCTTAAACATAATTTTTCTTCCAAATCTTCATATCACACTCGCACTTCTCACATGTCAAGTTCGGCTTCAAAAATCCTGTATCTCATAAAACCTGCAAAAATACACTTCTGTCAGCATAAAGACAACCATGAACAAATGCTTCTTTAATAACTCCAACAACATATCTTCTTGAATTAAATCTAGCTTAAATACACTCTAAAACAGGTAACTGATATCTCTCCACAACTTCCTTCATGGAACTATGCGGCATTATTCATCACGTTAACCAAAGAACCACCACCATGATACAACCACATTCCTCAAAAAAGTTTCCATGTAAAAAGGGGAATCATACAAGTAAAATCTTGCCCAAATCTCAACTAAACCATTCAACACAAAATATTGCCAAATTTGGTGACCACGTGTATTCCAGGCCATATATGACATCTTAGTCCCGTTTTTCTAGTTTTTAAAAGCCTTCAGCCCAGAAACTTGGTAGCCGTGAGTTCAAAAACAGATAAATCTCATTTCAGACGTCCTGTGCAGAATGAAAGGTGGCACCAGTACAATGTAGCTGCAGGCATGAAAAAGGTAGAAGTCTGAAGGATCCATGTCGGGGTCTATATGGTGGGTGTGGCAAAAGATTCTGTTCGAGTCCGTACAGAGTTTAGCTGGTGCATGCAGACACATGTGGTCTTGCATTATCTTGATGGAACATTACCAATTTGTGCCAGAACTCAATTTGATATTTTTCCTTGATAGCAGCATCAACTTGGATTAGCATCTGACGCTACACCTTACAGCTGAGGGTTTTACCCTTTTCCAGGTCCTGTTTGTGGATAATACCATAGCAATCTCACCAGATACAAAGCATGATCTTTTAGTTAGTCAAATGGCACTTTGTGACACTGCCGGTGGGCTCACTGGGCACAGAACTTTCAGTTTTCAAAGAAGAACAGCTACTGGTTGCATCTTTCGATTAAAAAAGGCATACACAAAAAACAGAGAGCACACCAACCAAGATTGATTTACTGTACCTCCTTTTCCTAATTGCTTGGTTAGCCATGCTCAATTCGTCAGTGTATTTTTTTTTTTTTTTTTTTTTTTGTACAAAAGGGCCCAGCATTATTTTCAAAATTAATTGACCCTTTTTCATTTATTTCCATGCCAAGTGTATCTGATACAACTGCTTTTCTAATGCTTTGGTCAAGTTGGTTGGAGCCCTCATAGTTTATCCCTAAATGCTTATTGGGTCTTCTCTGGTAAATTCTGTAATTTAGTACAATACATCAGTTCTATTCATTGATACACCTTTGTTCTTAAGCAGAAGAAGGCTTTTGTGTTACTTTTAGATGTTAGTTTTTGCAAAAAAGAATAAAGGAAGAAAAAAAGGCATATTAGGAATAACTATGATCTAGAATATAAAAATGTGTAATTGTCATTTTAAAATTTTAGGCCCTGGATATAAATTATATGATATAAAGAAATCCAGGAAAAAATGAAGAACATTTTCGCGTTTCTACCTGAGGACATTGGTATACCCTTTAATATTAATATTGTATTTTTCTGTTTTGCGTTATGATCAAAAGTATAATGCATTTGTTCTTGATAAACATATTAGAACTATAGTATAGAACAGGAACTTCCAATCAGTTGGTATTGACCTCCTGGGAGTCGATAAATTTTTAAAGGAGGTCAGTGATAATCACAGGGTCAAATGGGGGTCGATAGCTAAATGTGCAGCGGCAATTGATTAGCACAGTAAAGATCACATTGATTACAAAAAATTTCTTGATAAAATTTATAATTAATTGCTTGATAAAATTTAAATTTCTTGATAAAATTTATAATTAATTGCTTATTCATATAAAGCTATATTTTAAAAAGTCTTATTCAAAACAGATGGGTAGACTAAGTTTTGAAGTATAAGTATAAAAGCACTAAGTTATAGAATAACAGTCATCTGAGAGAAGTATCACCAAATAAAAGTTGTTATCCAACCAGCATTATTGACTTTTCCCTCATCTTATCTAGTAGAAATAGGTTTCAATCAAGTCAGTAATATATTATAAAAAACAAGAAAGAATAAGGCATAAGCAATTTTATGCTAAATATTGAAAAACTTACATCAGTACATGAAGTGCAGTCATCACATTGATTAAAACTTTTATGTAATTAGAATCTGTAATTTTACTTTTAAAAACTTGTTTTCATTTCTAAACTTAATATGAAAAATAATCAAATATTAAAAATAATAAAAATTTAATAATTCATTTTTTTCAAAATTTTTCTTTTATGCTCATAGTCTAATTATCAGTCATTTATGTGCAAATATTATATATGGTGGCCATTCTTTTAAAAAGGGGAATGGGGAAATCCATTCTTTAAAAAAGGGTTGATGGAAGAAAAGGTTTGGTAATGCCTGGTGTAGAACATTGATTTTTGCAAAATTAAGCCTATACCGAAAAAATTATTTCCCTTGAAAAAGTGATTTTGGCTGGATGACAGTGATGTGCATAATATTAAAATATATCAATTTTATATCATTATAATTAGCTTTTCATATATGCTTGCTATTGTTTGCTTAATTGAGTACAACAAAGCTAATGAAGGTTATTTGTCTATGGAAAGGGATGGCTTTATGGTAGACTTTCTAAGGGGAACTGGTTTATATTTACATACACATAAAGGAAAACCATAAAAGTACATTCTACTGATTTCTTAAGTTTTGTACTTTCTTTTAATCCATTCGTTTAATTATCTGATAATGTATCCCAAACTTAATAAAATATTTGGCAGTGAATGAAATCGTCTGCGTATTTAACAACTGCTCCATTAAATCATTTTAAAATTAAATTTTAAATTACTAGATGACTAATAGAATAAAAATTATTTTTATCATTGTGCTTTAAGATTCTTGGTCCAAAATGAAATGGCTTTTGTTTCTTTTGTGTCTCAACATTCAAATATTTGCAACATTATGCTTGATAGCTAGAGAGAAAATAGAACTGCATATGGAGGACTATTCGGAGCTGTAAGAAGGCAAAAGCTTTATGACTAGAAAGTGTGATATAACCTTCAATGTTTTCTTGCTGCTTGTTTTGGTGGAGAAGGTGGTTTTGGTGTACTTAATTATGGCAAAGCACACGAGGGCTATCTGCCTAAGGAGAGGGATGCCATCGTGGAGGACTTTCTAAGGGAAACTGGCTCGTATACACGTTACACATGGGGAAACTACGAAAACGCCCATGCAGCCAGCCGCCCATTCGCAGGATTTGAATCTCGGACCGAACTACCAGTGTTCAGCGACTTTACTGGTCGGCCGCTGGTGGGCCTTTGGTGGAGAAGGATGACTTTCCTTTATCTTACTTCTAAATAGAAAATTGTAGCATTTCTGTTCAATCTTTGCTATCACACAACAAAAACATTGGAAGAAGATACCCTAATAATGATCAGATGATAGACTGAATATGCAATTTTTTTTATTGCATTTAAGAGTGGAAAACATTTCATTCTAAAATTTCTTAATATTGATTTGTCATCCCATGGATGCTGCACCTGAGAACAGATGTCTCCCCTTGCCTCCTCCTAGCTACACCACTGTTTGTGTGATAATATGTATGTTATA